CTCACACTAGCCACATGAGGCTAGTGTCTTTTGTATTGGACGATAGAGCTCTAAAAGGTATAAATACCTTGAACAGTAGAATTGCTGAATTATAGGGTATCATATCTCGAACTGTAGTAGATGACAGCAAAGTTTTCCGAAGTGATAGAGCCATTTTGCACCCCAGTGCCAGTGTGTGTGAGTTCCCATTTTTCCGCATAATCACCAACACTTGATATTATCAGACTTTTTCTTGTCTGGTAAGTGGGTGATGGATTTCGCTGTGGTTTAATTTGCACTTCCCTGATGGTTAAAGAGCTGGAGCACATTTTCACATTAATTGACCATTGGAATTTCTTCTTCTTTGAAGTGCTGGAAAATTTTTTTGCCAATTTTTTTGTTAGGATTTTCATCATTTTTTTCCCTGTTGAATTTTTAGAAGTTCTTTATGATGTATTCTGGATGTGAGTCCTTTTGTGTTATGTGTTAACATAGACCTTCAACTCTGTAACTTGCATTTCATTTTCTTAAAGATGTCTTTCACTGAACTTGTTTTAAATTTTAATGTTGATAAGTTTTTAAATGCTTTCCTTTATGGATAGTAACTTTTGTGTCCTATTTAGTAACTCCTTTTCTGTCCTGAGGTCATGAGATTGTTATCTATTATCTTATTTTATATCATCAGAACTTTATTAAGTCTTTTTATTTAATAGGTCTAAAATTGATTTTGTATGAAGTATGTATAGGAGTTGATTTCATTCTTTTCTGTATGAGTGTCCAGTTGTTCATTATTCATCCACTTGCCCCGCTTTCCTCAGCAATTCTCCCCCTACCCATTGTGCCACCTTTGTTGTACATCAAGGGTCTATGTATCTGTAGGCTTGTTTCTGTACTGTCTATTCTGTTCCATTCATCTGTCTCTCTATCATTATATCAAATTCTTAAATCCTATTTGTTGTTGTCGTTCAGTCGCTCAGTTGTGTCCAGTCTCTTTGCAACCCATGGACTGCAGCACACCAAGCTTCCCTATCCTTTACTGTTTCCCGGAGTTTGCCAAACTCATGTCCATTGAGTCAGTGATGCCATCCAACCATCTCACCCTGTCACCACCTTCTCCTCCTGCCCTTAGTCTTTCCCAGCATCAGGGTCTTTTCCAGTAAGTCAGCTCTTTGCATCAGGTGGCCAAAGTATTGGAGCTTCAGCTTCAGTATCAGTTCTTCCAGTAAATATTCAGGACTGATTTCCTTTAGGATTGACTGGTTTGATCTTCTTGCAATCCAAGGGACTCTCAAGAGTCTTCTTCATCACCGCAGTTCAAAGTCATCAGTTCTTTGATGCTCAACCTTTTTTATTTTCCAGCTCTCATATCTGTACATGACTACTGTACTGAAAAACCATAGCTTTGACTATATGGACCTTTGTCGGCAAAGTAATGTCTCTGCTTTTAAATACACCGTCTAAGTTGGTCATAGCTTTTCTTCCAAGAAACAAGTGTCTTTTAATTTCATGGCTGCAGTCACCGTCTGCAGTGATTTTGGAGCCCACAAAACTAAAGTCTGTCACTGTATACATTTTTACCCCATCTATTGAAAGAGAAGAGTGTAAAAGCAGGCTTAAAACTCAACATTAACCACTGGTAACCACTGGTTTGCCTTCTATATCTGTGAATCTGCTTCTTTTTTAAAAGTTAAATTCACTAGTTTGTGTTTTTTAGACTTCACATTAAATATCATAAAGTAAAAAAAAAAAATCAACATTAAAAAAATAAAGATCATGGCATCTGGTTCCATCACTTCAAGGCAAATAGATGGGGAAACAATGCAAATATGCAGGGTGACAATATACAGCCTTGTTGTACTTCTTTCCCAATTTTGAACCAGTTTGTAGTTCCATGTCCGATTCTAACTGTTGCTTCTTGACCTGCATACAGGTTTCTCAGGAGACAGGAAAGGTGGTCTGGTATTACTATTTGTTTAAGAACTTTTCACAGTTTGTTGTGATCCACACAGTCAAGGACTTTAACATAGTCAGTGAAGCAGTAGATATTTTTCTGGGACTCTCTTGCTTTCTCTATGATCCAACGGATGTTGGCAATTTGGTCTCTGGTTCCTCTGCCTTTTCTAAATCCAGCTTGTACATCATGTTCTCAGTTCACGTACTGTTAAAGCCTAGCTTGAAAGATTTTGAGCATTACCTTGCTAGCATATGAAAGGAGTGAAATTGTGTGGTAATTTGAGCATTCTTTGGCATTGCCCCTCTTTGGTACTAGAATGAAAACTGACCTTTTCCAGTCCTGTGGCCACTACTGAGGTTTTCCAAATCTGCTGGCATATTGAGTGCAGGTCTTTCACAGCATCATCTTTTAAAATTTGAAATAGCTCAGCTGGAATTCCATCATCTCCACTAACTTTGTTCATAATGATGCTTCCTAAGGCCCATTTGCCTTCGTACTGCAGGATGTCTGGCTCTAGGTGAGTGATCACACCATCGTGGTTATCAGGTCTTTAAGATCTTTTTTGTATAGTTCTGTGTATTCTTGCCACCTGTTCTTAATATCTTCTGCTTCTGTTAGGTCCATACCATTTCTGTCCTTTATTGTGCCTATCTTTGCATGAAATATTTTCTTGGTATCTCTAAATTTCTTGAAGAGATCTCTAGTCTTTCCCATTCTATTGTTTTCCTCTATTTCTTTGCATTGATCTTAAGAAGGCTTTCTTATCTCTCCTTGTTATTCTTTAGAACTCTGCATTCACATGGGTATATCCTTTCTCCTTTGGCTTTCACCTCTCTTCTTTTCTCACCTATTTGAGAGGCCTCCTCAGACAACCATTTTGCCTTTCTGCATGTCTTTTTCTTGGGAATTATATATATAATTCTATATATAGAATTATAGATTCTATAATTTATAAAATCATATGGTCATTCAGAGATACCTCTGTTGCTGGCGTTTATGACCTAGTGTTCATAGACTTCTAGTACATTTGTTTTATTTATTTCTTAACTTTGCAACATGTTTTAATTTTTGCTTTATATCTAATTACAGTGTTCAAGACCTAAAACACATTGTCTTCAAATTTGAATGTGTATGTAAATATCATTTGTCAGCACATTCAGTGCCATGGTTTCTTGGCTTACATCTACTCTGAAATCATCAAGCTTTATAGGTATACCCAGGGGCCCTGAGGACATAGGAAACAATAGAGAGAGTTTATAGTTCTTAAAAGCAAATACATTTGGAAAGAAAAGCCAAAGGAAAAAGGTTTGATTCACCTTCCTAGGGTCTGTAGCCAGGAACCTATGCTTTTTTGAGGGACATCTGGTCTGTCTTGGGTAGCTGGGCTACTCAGTTTTCTCTTCGCAAACTCAGGGGTCAAACATCTGAACTGCATTAGTCAGAGAAGTTCAAGTATGTGCTAATGTGGACCTCAGCAGTATGCTGGCCCGGAGGTTGTGAGGTGGGCCCAAATGCACTGAAGACTTTATTACACACTCTACAGCCCGATCTCCCAGGATGTTCTGGGCCTCAAATTCAGTGGTGCCTCTTCTAACCCACAGCCGGGTGATTCTGCCCATAGCCCAAGTCTAATGCAGAATGTTCTCTTTTGAACTGTAGGAAATAGTTTTGTAAGAGTCAGCAGCCTAAGTGAAAAGGGTCCTACCCCTTGCCTCCCTGGGAGAGTGAGGGTTGGTAGTAATCATGCTGAAACTGAAGAGAGGCATCTGACTCACTTACGTGGTACAGTATTGGTATCACTTTTCAGTCATGACCACTAGCCTCAACCACTTGTCTCAGAAAGTGCCTCTGGAGTTGAATTGCAACACTGAAAAAACAGGGTAGATTCAAGACCAGCGACCCAAAGCACCTGAATTTGTTATCTGTAAGCAGAGTGGTGTGGCTTTCATCTGAGCCAGAGGGGGATGTGTAGGAATGGGAGCAAGAATGGTGTTGTTTCTGGGTAAGGGGAAACATAGGTCGGAGCAGAACACCTCTGACCCACTTCTGTGGGGCTGGTAGTGCTTCAGCTCCACCACTGGCCTACACCTAGCCAAGCTTCCTCCACTCCCACCCCCAACCCTACCCCTAACAACTGGGCTTTACACTCACATGCAATCCAGCAAAGCATATAGACAAACCTCTGAGGCACTGCAATAGCTCTCCTCAAAGAGGAAACAAAAAACATTAGGATTATAATTGTCACAGGAAGGGCAAAACCCAAACCATGTACAGAGTTATCACAGATAGTTGGCTGCCTCTCCTCTTATCACAGAAACTTAGCAGCCTCAGGACTTTTCTGAGAGTGACTGATATCGTCCCTAATAGTTCCTTGTACACAGTAGGTTTATTAATTAACTCCAGGGTATCCGTGCTTCCTCTGAAGTTGTATAGCATATTTTACGTGTGTATGCTTTCTTGGTGGTAAGGAGAAGAGAGACCAGTGGCTTTCAGTTGATTTTCACAGAGTCGTCGTCTTGTTTAGTCGCTAAGGCGTGTCCAACTCCGCAGCCCCGTGGACCGCAGCATGCCAGCTTCCTCTGTCCTCCACTGCCTCCCAGAGTTTGTGCAAATTCATGAGCATTAAGTTGGTGATGCTGTCTATCCTCTGTCTCTCGTCCTCTGCCACCTCCTTGTCCTTTTGCCTTCAGTTTTTCCCAGTGTCCGGGTCTTTTCCAGTGAGTCGGTTGTTTTTATCACGTGGCCAAAGTGTTGAAGTTTCAGCTTAGGCATTAGTCCTTCCAGTGAATATTCAGGACTGATTTCCTTTAGGATTGACCGGTTTGATCTGCTTGCTGTTCAGTCTCCAACACCATAGTCTAAAAAAGATTAAGAACGACTTCTATGAGTTAAGAAAAGTTTACAGAAGCCAACAGTTTTTCCCCCCTTTTTTTGTGTGTTTTATGTCTGTATTTGAATAACATTCTGATAAAGTACTATTAATTATATGTAAGATTCTTAGACTTTTGTTTAATAAGTATCACTTTGCCTATACTTAAATTGAGAACTTTTATTTTTTAAGGTTCAGGAGCAAGTACATCCCAATCTCTCAGCTAATGAAGAGTCTCTCTATTATATTGAAGAGCTGATTTTTCAGTTGCTTAATAAATTATGCATGGCCCAACCAAGGACTGTTCAAGATGTGGAGGTAAAAATTATTCTATTATTTCAAAAAGTCATTGAACCACTGTATAAATAAATTTTTATATCTACATCTATATCATTTAAAATTATCATGGAAATTGAAATCATATGGGAGGGTATATGATCAATTCATTTTTGTCAAAGATGTCAAGGCAATTCAATGAGGAAAGTAAAGTTATTCAGTCAAAATAAGTGTTAAAACAACTGGATAAATTTTTGATGGGAAAAAAACCCTTGAAACCAATCTCAGAAATTTAAGGTACATCATAATCTTAAAAATAATAGCTGAAACTATGAAGTTTCTAGAAGAAAATTCAGGAGAATATCTTTATAAGATGATGTTAAACAATTTTTTTTTACAGAGGACTCAAAATACCATAAATATCAAAAGAATAAAATTGATGTGAAAATAAAAATGATACAAGTCACAAACTAGGGAAATGCTTTCAATATGTATTCCTTACAAAGGGTTTGTATCCAGAATATGTTAAAAAAGAAAAACAATTACAAATCCATAATAAAAAGATTCTTTGCTCGCCCAGATGAGCAAAAGTCTTGAACAGACAGTTCATAAAAGAGCATATGAAAAGGATTCAAACTCATAATTCATCAGGGAAATAGAAATTTAAACTACAAGGAGATATTATTTCACAGCCACTGAAAGGGATAAAGTTAAAGATTGATAACATGGAATACTGATGGGATGTAGAGCAACTGGAACTCTTAAACATTGCTAGTAGGAGTATAAAATGGCATAACTACTTTGGAAAATTGTTTTGTAGTTTCTTTTTTTTTTTTTGCAGTTTCTTATAGTTAATTAAATACCTAACCTATGATCTTGCAGTTTTATTGCTGGGTATTTAATCCTAAAGAAATGAAAATATACCTTCACAAAGAGACTTATATAAGGATGTATAAGCAGTTTTATTCATAGCAAACAAAAATTGAAAACAGCTAAAATTTCCATCTATAGGAAAATGGGAAAACAAATTGTGATAGATTCATAAAGTAGAGTACTACTTAGTAGTAAAATGAAGGAATAAACTATTGATATATGCAATAATAAAGCTATAATCTACAGTTATCACATGGAGCAAAATATAAGCCAAACCCCAGAGAGTATGTATTTATTGATTCCAATTATATGAAAATCAGAAATAGCTTAAAGTAATGGTGATAGAAATCAGGATGGTGGCTGCTTATGAAGGTTAAGATTAAGATGATAGGAATTTTCTGTAATCTTAATTAATGTGATGGTTACACAGGTGTAAACATTTTTCAGAACTCATCTAATTATACACTTAAGATCTGTGCATTTTACTGTATACAAATATTAGGTTCAATAAAGGACTAGTGTAGAAAAAGATATTTACTCATTGATTTAAAAAATATACATATATGTATATATATGAATGAATGAATGTGAAAGTCGTTCAGTCATGTCTGACTCTTTGCAGCCCCATAGACTGTAGCCTGCCAGGCTGCCAGGCTCCTCTGTCCATGGAATTCTCCAGGCAAGAATACTGGAATGGGTAGCCATTTCCTTCTCCAGGCAATCTTCCCAAACCAGGGATCGAAGCCAGGTCTCCCACGTTGCAGGCGGATTCTTTACTGTCTGAGCTACCAGGGAAGCGTGTGTGTGTGTGCCTAAAAGATCATGTGTAATTTAGTGCTAAAATTGTGTGTGTGTGTGTTTTTACCTAAAAGATCATGTGTAATTTAGTGCTAAAATACCTGTTTTGGCTCAGTTACATGTGAGTATTTCTAGATTTTTAGAAATATTTGTCAGTATAGTTTTTAAAAGTTGCTTTGGCATTATATTGTTTATATCACCTTTCTTTGAAGATTATTTTCTAACAAGGCAACAACTTCCAGGGTAAAGGATAATCTTATTTTGGAGTAATAGACCTCCTTTTTGCCTCATGAGAAACCTGTTTGCAGGTCAAGAAGCAACAGTTAGAATCAGACATGGAACCACGGCCTGGTTCAAAATTTGGAAAGGAGTACATCAAAAGGCTGTGTACTGTCACCCTGCGTATTTAACTTCTATGCAGAGTACATCATGTGAAATGCTGGGCTGGATGACTCACAAGCTGGAATCAAAATTGCCGGGAGAAATATCAAGAACCGTAGCCCTGCAGATGATACCACTCTAATGGCAGAAAGCGAAGAGAAACTAAAGAGACTCTTGATGAGGGTGAAAGAGGAGAGTGTAAAAACTGGCTTAAAACTCAACATTCAGAAAACTAAGCATCCGGTCCCATCACTTCATGGCAAATATGGGGAAAAAATAGAAACAGTAACAGACTTTATTTTCTTGGGCTCCAAAGTCACTGCGGATATTGACTGCAGCCACGAAATTAAAAGACACTTTTGGAGGAAAAGCTATGACAAATCTAGACAGCATATCAAAAAGCGAAGATACCACATTACCGACCAGAGTCCGTATAATCAAAGCTATAGTTTCTCCAATAGTCAACGCGCGGATGTGAGAGCTGGACTGTAAAGAAGGCTGAGCACCAAAGAATTGATGCTTTTGAATTGTGGTGCTGGAAAAGATTTCTTGAGAATCCCTTGGACTGCAAGGAGATCAAATCTGTCAATCCTAAGGGAAATCAACCCTGAGTACTCATTGGAAAGACTGATGCTAAAGCTGAAACTCTAATACTTTTAGCCACCTGATGCAAAGAGCTGACTCATTGGAAAAGACCCGGATGCTGGGAAAGATTGAGGGCGAGATTAGAAGGGGACAACAGAGGATGAGGTGGCTGGATGGCATCACCAACTCAATGGAGTTGAGTTTGAGCAAACTCTGGGAGATAGTGAAGGACAGGGAAGCCTGTTCATGGGGTCACAAAGAGTCAGACGCGACTTAGCAACTGACAGTAACAACAATAGATCTATTAACATTTTCAAGGACTCTGGTAATTAGTGCATTTGTTTCCCTGTTCTCTGCTGTAAGAATTGGACATAATTAAATATAATAAATGGAGAAGGAAATGGCAACCCACTCCAGTATTCTTGCCTAGAGAATCCTGTAGACAGAGGAGCCTGGTGGGCTGCCGTCTGTGGGGTCGCACAGAGTCGGACACGACTGAAGCGACTTAGCAGCAGCAGCAGATATAATAAAAGCATACTTTTCAAAAGCTAAATATGCTAGAAGCTGAGAATATAATTTAAAAAATAGGAAATTCTGATGAATTGGAGCTTGATTCAGTTATCATTACTTCTCATTATTCTTGCCAATTACTGGTAACATTTGTTAATAAGATTAGATGATATAAAAGGTTTGTATTGTTTTTGCCAAGTGGTACATTTCTTTAAACTATTCTGAGCTCTGCCACACACTTGGTTCTTTAAGAGGTACATGATATTTCTCCTTTTTAAAATTTTTCTCTATAAAGCTCTGAGATTAGCAGAAGGAGAATGACTGCATAATAATTATTAATAACAAGTTAACAACTTCTGCTGGGTAAACAGTTTTAACCCTAGAAACTTTGACCTTAGAATCACTGACTTAGCATATTTCATGTTTGCTTTAATCTCTAACATTATTACTTTTTCTTTTTTTTCCAATTTTATATTAGTTATGCTTATACTTAAAGCTTTATGTTTAAACTTCACCTTTTTGTTTACCTGTGGGAATTATGTGGAAAAATCTTGATAGCGTTTTGAGTTTTTTTAAACAAAAACTTTGATTTATTGCAGGAATCAGAACAGGTTATGTTACTATTAACTGTTGGCATGAGAATGATGATGAAGTTAATTTTGTATGAACTTTCTGTTTATGAGCACTTCTGTTAACGATAGTTCTGCTGTGATCTGAACAGGAACGAGTTCAAAAGACCTTTCCTCATCCAATTGATAAATGGGCTATTGCTGATGCACAGTCTGCCATAGAGAAACGAAAAAGAAGAAATCCTCTCTTACTACCTGTGGACAAAATCCATCCTTCATTGAAGGTAAAAGCAAACAAGCAAACATACAAAAAACAGACACACAAAAAAGCATTGAGAGAAGTTGTTTTTAACAAATAGTCCTTTATATAGTATTTATGTATTTATATACATGGTCTATAAATATATTTATGTATTTATATACATGACTGTATGTGCAGTTGAACATGTATATACTTATATATACACATACATACATACATATATGTTCCTTAATGTATGCAAAAAGTAAAAAGAAATATACTCTGATAAAATCAGTTGCTTTTCAAATAGTATTAAAAGTTAATGATAAGAAATAATGCATCTTTTTGGCATCTTCTGATGACTGCTACCCTGATTGACTTTCAGCTTTTTGTTGTGTATAATGCAAAATCTACTGTGAGTTCAGAACTGTTCTTAAGTTCATTTGTATTTGTTATAGATATTTTTATATACATTGGAAAAGTTGGGTGTTGGGTATTATTATTATTTAGTCTGTACAAAGTAGCTGGTGTACCTGAATTTGAGTATCCTTTGGTAGCTGTTTCGAGACCCCCCACATATATGTCCTCCCCTCAGTAGAAACCGTTATAATTTGGGAATATTAATTAAAAAATGCAAATATTTGTCAGATGGGTTTTGGATAATATATGAAGAAGTTTTCAGTGAAGTCTAGTCTAAGATTTCTGTCTTAGAATCAACTATCTCTTCTTGTTTGATACTAAAGGCAGATTTGTTATATTTTAACCATCAAAATCAAAGCCCTGATACTGAGCCAACAGATCATTTTACATCCTGTGATACCTTTGAGTTTAGACATTTGGCTTCTGGAAAGCTGTTTATAAGCAAGAATGTTAAATAAAAATTTTAAGTGTGTTTTAACTCCTACTTGACAGTGCTGCCATTTTGGGAACTAAATTGCTTATTTTTTCCACAGGAAGTTTTAGGATACAAAGTGGACTACCATGTGTCCCTGTATATTGTGGCTGTGCTGGAGTATATCTCAGCTGATATTCTGAAATTGGCTGGTAATTACGTTTTTAATATCCGACATTATGAAATATCTCAACAAGACATTAAAGTGTCAATGTGTGCAGATAAGGTAAGTGTTAAAAGGTATTTAAATTTAGCTAGAATGCTAGTGATTGTATGTCACTTCTATCTTTGTTTTTTAATACATGGTTATATTAGTGATTTTTATAATTCCTAGTGTTGCAAGACAGGAAAATGGTGGACTTACAGACTAATAACCACGATATTTTCAGATTTTTCAGCATGTGATGGGATGAGAATCTCTTTTTTTTCCATCAAAACTTTTTTACCTGCAGAGAAAAAAACATCCAAAGCCTTAAACAAGTTTAAAAAAAGTAGTTTGAGTTTTGTATTTTTAGAAAGAGAATAAAACCGGAATATTCAGATACTTTTAAGTTTAAGAAGTAATTTTGAAAAACATACTTTGATTTTGCAGCATAATTCAGTGGGGCACAAGGAAAGAGATTTTACAATGCCAGAGTTACTTTCTTCTGATCATTTTTTTGTTGTTGTTACTTCATTCTTCCTGGCTGTAAGCTACTGAGGAAAGAAATTGAGTCTTTTATTTTCCTCTCTCCTCCTTTTCTTCCCTTTCTACTTTACTCCTTTTTTTTTTCTTACTTTTGAAATCAACATTTTTGAATGCCTGTTATGTGTCAGATACTGCCCTGAGCAATATACAACATTGAACATATCAGCAGTCCCTGTGTTAGAAGGAATTTATTTTAGTGGGTAATAAAAGTATTATAAACAAATAATTGCAGTACAAGATAATTAAAGCTATTATTATACAAATGAATCAGAGATGCAGTGGAGAAAGGGATTACCTCTGGATAGGGAAGACCATAAACACTTCATAGAGAAATGCCTAAACTAGACCTCTAGGTGTGAATTACCCCCAGGGTCTGGCCTAGGCCACTGGTTCTTCACCTTGCACATCAGAATTACCAGTATTCTTTAAAAGAATACTGATGTCTGCATTTTACCCCTAGAGGTTCTTGTTTACTTGATCTGGGATTGGCCTCTAGGCTCACAAGTGATTCTAATGTATGGTTAACAATTGAGAGCCATTGTACTATGCCGTAGTCTCAAAAATGATTTTTCACTTAAGTTTTATTGTAGAAATTCCTTGTTATTTCTGTTTTGGCTTCTGAAAAAATGAAAAAAAATGATTATATGTTTTTTTGACTTAGTCTCTAGCTCAGACTTTTAGAAAAGTTGCATGTACAAAAAAAGATACTCCCTTGTACCCTAAACCACTTGAGAGTAGGTTATTGACATAGTTTAGTGTATCATACGAACAAAAACATTTTCCTGTGTAATCACACTATGACAGTCAAAATCCAGGAAATGAATGCTGATACATTATATTATGTAATCCTCAGACCCCATTCAGGTTTTGCCAGTTGTCCCAATGACGTCTTTTATAGCAGAATGATCCTGTTCAGAATCATGTGTTGTGTTTAGTTGTCATGTATCTTTTTTTTCTCCTTGTTCACTCTGGAACAGTTCATTCTTCCTTTAACTTTTATGACCTTGACATTTTTAAGGATTATGCTTATTAATGTTTAAAATGCTCTTCAGTTTTTTCTGATATTTTCTCTTGATAAATTTCAGGTTATGTATGGAGCTGTGGCAGAAATGCCATAGAAGTTCTTCTCATTGTACTTTCTCACATGACACACAGTTTTGATGTGTCCCACTTTTGGTGATGGTCACTTCAGTCCCTTGATTAAGGGTGTGTCTTCTAGATTTCTCTACTTTAAAGGACTTCTTACCCTTTGGTAATAAATATTTTGTAGAGTATCTTATGGCTATGTAAATATCTTGTTCCTCATCACACTTTCTGGTGGTTTAGTCGCTAAGTCATGTCCAACTCTTGCTACCCAATGGACTGTAGCCTGCCAAGCTCCTCTGTCCATGGGATTCTCCAGGCAAGAATACTGGAGCAGGTTGCCATTTCCTTCTCCAGAGGATCTTCCCGAGCCAGGGATCGAACCCAGGTCTCCTGTATTGCAGGCAGATCCTTTACCAACTGAGCTACGATTTATTTTAATATGGACTCATTGATTCTTATTTTATTTAGTGGAACATAACTCAGTAATTTATTAGTTATTTTGATATTCAGATTGTCTCAAGTTGGCCAGTGGGAGCTCCTTCAGTTTGCCTCTCTGTCCCTGTCTCTCTTTTGACATAAGATGCTCCAGGTTCACCTTGTTCTTTACCTGAATACTCAAGCCTGGAATTAGTTGTTTGCTAAAAATTCCTGGTTCGTTTTAGTGGAGAACGGCATTTAGAAACCATGATCTTGGTGCTCGATGAGCTCATTGATACTGGAGTGTTACTCCTCTGATCTCTTTAAGGTCAGAATTAGGGCGTGCATGTGTATGTGTATGTGTATACATATATACATGGGCTTCCCTGGTGGCTCAGTGGTAAAGAGTCTGCCTGCCAAAGCAGGAGATGTGGGTTTGATCCCTGGATTGGGTAGATCCCCTGGAGAAGGAAATGGCAACCCACTCCAGTATTTTTGCCTGCGAAATCCTGTGGACAGAGGAGCCTGGTGGACTACAATCATGGGGTCACGAAAGGGTCAGACAAAACTTAGTGACTGAGACAACAATAATAACACATACATATACATCTATATTTATATCTTATGTATCTTTAGATGAGTTCTCTTCAATCCAGGTTCATTACCACAGACTTTATTTTTGCCTCCCCTTCTTTACATTTGTAATTCCGTTATCTGATAGTGAGAAACCTAGCTCCTGGTTTTCTTAATATATGTATTTGTTTGATCAACCCTTCTGTATGTGACCAGTCTCCCAGCAGGCCTATCTCTCCACACTGGTGTAGACACCCTATTTTGGCATAGAAACCTTTCTCCTCCTTTGTATACTTTCTCCTAACCCTCCTCAAATTCTGACAATCCCATCTTGGTCCATTGCTGCTGGACCAACTTCCCATGCAAATACGCTCCTTACCCACTAGGGCTCCAGCACCCTGCATCGAGCTGCCCTGTTGTATGGATAGTCTCTATGCTCTGATTGATCTCTAACATCTTGTGCCCCCAACCTGCCACTCCCGTGAACACCCTCCCTACCCCTCTCAGGAACTGGCATGCTGGGATGGGCCGCTGCAGCTTTTCCCCACATCCTCATGCAGGAATGCCTCCTTTATTTGCCCCATTCCTCCACTCTCCTTGCCCCGAACAGTGGCCTTGGACGGGGCTATTGACAGACTGTGGGAAGGGGAGACTTTATTTTATATCTGAGTAAGTTAACTTTTCTATGACTCTTTTTAAAAGTGAAAGTAGTTAAATTCTTAGACAATTATAAGAATTACAAGAGACCAGATCTACATGCAGATTGACAGATGGTAGTCACATAACATCTGTTTGAGCACTGCAGAGCTTATTGCTTGTAAAACTGTCTATTCCTTTTTATAGAATTCTAGTTAGGTGAAGTGTCTTCCTCATAGAGAGTTAAAATTAACTTTCCTATTAACTTTTTCCCAGAATAGCTATTTTTTATTAGCAAGAATATACTTGATAATTCAATATGGACAATTTTAAATGTACCATGCTTTAAAAAAATTTTTTTTGGATGGAATTATACAAAAGAGAATTTATCAAAATTCAGTGCATTTTTAGGGTACAAACCTGTAGTAGAACTATAAATATCAAGTATGGCATGCATTTAAAAGTTTTTTACTGAAATATAATTTGATTTACAATGTTGTATTTAATTTCTATTGTGCAACAAAGTAACTTAGTTATATATACATATATATATACGCTTTTCTTCATACTCCTTTCTATTACAGTTTATCATAGGATATTGAATATAGTTTCATATGCTATACAGGAGGACCTTATTATTTATCCATCCTATATATAAAAAGCTAGTTTTCATCTGACTTTCCTATTAACTTTGTTTTTTTTTTTTAACTTTAATTCACTAATTCTAATCTCTCTTCTGGACTACGTTAGATAAGATGAAACTGTTTTTCAGAATAAATCATTCCATTATTTAAAGCATTTTTCCATGTACTAAATTTTCACCTTTTGAGACTTTGCAAACCAATCTTTTGGACTGGTTTTCAGATTTTCATTGAATTGCTCTTAGACTGTGATTTCTGAAATAAAGACAACAGTTTAGGTTTGTTCTGACCACCCAAAGTGCAATGAAACGCCTACTTCGTTTATTCAATATGATGTTCTTTTATAATTTTACCATTAACTTTTGGGAGCACGCATGTTGTTCTGTTTAGTTAGTGAGTTTACAGATGTCTTAACTCCCTAGGACTTTTCACGTGAGATACTAGTATGTTATATCTTTGATTTCTTATAATGTGTGCTACTGGTTTTTTTTTTTTTCTCATCCAAGTTTGAGTTCAAACTTATCTCTCTAAAACTTAATACTGTTATTGAGACTATGTCCAGCTTATCAAGATATTATAAAAATCTGATTTTGTCATTGATCATTGTAGATATCCTACTAGCTTTTTGTAATATATGCCAGTCTAAGAAACTTAGTTTGTTTCAGTTTGAATTATTAAAAATATTAGAAAAAGTGTAATAGGTGATATTCCTCACATAATGTCATTAGAGGCATACTTCTAGATTAATAAATTACTGCTTTTTTTCACTATGGCCTTTTAGTCAGCTGCCATTTCACCTCTTTGTCTAATTCGGGGGTCAGCAGGCTTTATCTGTAAAGGACCAGTGGGTGGGTAAATATTTTAGGTTTTGTGGGTGAATATTTTAGGTTTTGTTCACCTTTCTTGGAGCCACTCATCTTTGCTTTTGTAACAGGAAAGCAGCCATAAAATAATGAGTGTAGGCTGTGATCTAGTAAAACTTTATTTATACAAAAGGTAGTAGGCTCATTGTGGCCTGTGGGCTATAGTTTGCCCATCCTTTTCTCCTATGATTCCAAATTTGTCACAAGAGACTGTCATATGTATAGCAAAGATTCAAATGACTTTATTTGTGGGACTAGTCATGTGAATGGAGTAATGAGGCTAGTGTGATATGGTGTAATCTTAGTAAATCTAAACTGATTTCCTATGAGCACTATTTCAGGAACTTATAAACCACCTGTTTAATAAACTGTTCATATAAGTGCTTTCTAGAGGTCTGTGTAGTTTCCCAGACAAGGTTATATAATTTGACAGAGAACTTGAGAATCAAGTTTTTTTCTACACTTAAAAAAAGCAGCATTTGACTATATGATGTATTATGGCCCATCAGAGATTGCTGAGAATAGTTAGATGATCATAGGAAGGAATTTTAAAGCTCAACCCTTCATATATTTGTCACTATTGAGGAAAATAGTATTCAGATTGGAAAAATAGAAAATATGTTCTTAAGAGGAAATTTGATGTTTAAGCAAGGCAAGAGAGAATAAGAGCACAGAGCTGTTCTGAGGATTATTTCTGTGGACCCAGATGTAATAGGAGTTGAGTTCTTCTGTATTTTTTCTTTTGTTGTAATATTACTCCATCTGTTCCAAGAACCGATTCTCCTTTACTATTCTTGTGAACGTGATCAAGAACTGCTTCTATTGTCCTAACATTTATTCTGATCCTTAACTCATTTAGTGTTTAGCCGTTCATTACAAGTCCTGTGTCTGCTCAGTCACTCAGTTGTGTCTGACTCTTTGCAGTCCCTGGGGGACTATAGCCACCGCCCCCCACTTCCCCGCCCCGGTTCCTCTGTCCATGGGATTATCCCAGCAAGAATCCTGGAGTGGGTTGCCATTTCCTCACCCAAGATATCTTCCCTATCCAGGGATCAAACCCCTGTCTCCAGTGTGGTTCCTCCATTGGCAAGTGGATTCTTCACTCGTGAGCCACCTGGGAAGGCTATTACAAGTTATTACAAGTCTTAGCAATTTGCAAACATACAATACATGTATGCTCTCTAAGCAGGTATCTTTTGTGCATTTACTGTGCGTCAAATGTTGTGGATTTTAAGATGAAATTATGGCTCTTAGCTGTAGAAATGTCCATGTAAGTTAGGTGCTTATATAGAAAAGAGGGAGGATGCTTATGGAGGACTGAAGCCAGGGAAAAGATTTTGATGGAGGAGTTCAGGAGGAGTTGGGAAAAGCTATACAAAGACAATTATATTTGAGCTAAGTGATGAAAATTACTGAGGATTTATCAGGTGAATAAATGTGAGAGTTGAAAGGAAAGAGAAGTAAGAGAAGGTGTTCTAGACAGGAGAATAGAAGGACCTGACCAGTTTTAAGAGCTGTTTGTGAGTTGGAGTTAAAAAGGATTTGGGGACTGATTCGGTGTGAAAGTTGAGAAGGGTTAAGTCTAGGGTAAGGACAAGTTTTCTAGCTGTGAAGGTGAGGTAGGTGATGCTTGATTAGTGATTCTGAAGTGGAGTGTACATGTATGGGTTTGTCAGACAGAGAGATACCTAGCAAGTCTTTCATAACACTTATCTAGATTCCAGAGAGTTTCTGACATAAATATTTAGGGAGTCATTATCTAGTGATTGAAAATCATCTAAGAAGGTGAGCTCAAATATAGTAGATGTTTCAGACTGATGGCCTGCTAGTGAATAGGGATTCTCCACCTAGTGAATAGGGGCTCCAGGTTTATTTTTTAAAATTTTGAATTATTTGCAATCTGTTTATATTTATAAATATGAAAATTCTACATAAAATCTAGATTTCAGACTTTTCTTGAAAAAAGAAAATCAAAATGCCTGACAAAATAGCTACCATTGAGCACACTTTGCCGTTTAGGTCCATGCACCTTCTAGTTTGCCACACTGCCTGTCACCTGTTACGTTTTAACATGATGTATTTTCTGCCTGACTCCTGTAGCATTTACATTCAGGATGTCGTGTGGCCAAAACAGTTCCAAAAATGGGACCCTTCAGTGGGTGGCAGGGGAGGTAAGTAGTAGAGGAGGCTTCACTGACAGAATGGTGTATGAGAAGCCAAGGGAAGAGAAAGTTTTAAGAAGTTCTGGTTAGCTGCGTTAATAACTAGAGAAAACAAAAAGATACTCAGACATTGTTAGTGAGTTTCAGTAGAGTGGTGAGCTTCAGAACTAAGAAATCAGAGATACCAAGTACAGACTACTTTAAAAATATCCCTAGTGGGGAAGAGAAGACAGTTCTGTGTCATACTTTCCATTCTTTTGTGTGTCTGCTTAAAATCAGATTCCATTAGCTAGTTCCCTGTGTAGCCCCAGTGGTTTCTTCAAAGGTCTTAAATGGCTGAAAATGGGAAGCGATAATGTTCAGTTGCAGGAGGGCGAGTTGCATGAAGGGGCCAATGAAGAGAAAAGGGATTTTAGAATATCACAGGAGATGAGGCTGGGGAAGTGGGCTGGGGTTAGATTGTAAGTGGCTTTATCTTCATGAAATTAGAATTGTATACTGAAAGCAATGAAATCCAGTATCATGTTTATGTAGGATATGACACAATTTGGTTTTAGGAACATAATTTTAGAACTGGGGTTTGGAAGAAACCTGTGGCAAGCAGGTCAATATTGCATAACCTTCTAAGAAGTGATATAGCTGCTTAATTGTCTGATTTGAAGATTGGAGGGTAATGGAGAGAACTGACCAGATTTAAGAAATATTTCTGAGTTAGATTTAAAAGATCAGGAAAGCAGAATTCATGTTTATTTTGCTTATTACTATATCTTACCAACATCTGGAACAATTTCTGGTGCTCAGTAGATATTTTTGAGAATGAATGAATATCTCATATTATCAGAATTTGCTCATTCTCTTAATTGTTTTACTTTTGGAGCTTCCTTTTTGGAAGTGTGCTTTTTTTTTTCTCCTAAGTTCTAAGAAAGTAGTTTTCAGTTAGTCTTGCATATATAATTAAGTAGGTCCAATTTTTCTTTTCTTTTTAAACTATGATTATTTTTAATTCTAAAAAGTATGGTCACCTTTTTCCTATTGATTTTAATATACAGCTAGCTCCTGCATGTTGGTTGACTCAAGTCCATAGTACCAATCTTTATTCTTTCCTGAAAGGATAAATTGTCACTATAGCAATTTAAGCATCTGTGGAATGCTTGATTTTAATAAGTGAACTTTTTATAGGAGTTGTTAGTGTAGTAAATATGCATCAGAAAAGCATCATGCTATTACTGTATTTTGTCTCTTGTTTCATTTTTTTCCTTTAAACTCCACTTAAGTGCACCTAAGCATTCTTATAGTAGAACAAAGAACTACTATATTTAATGCCTATTATTTGCTAGTCATAATAGTATGCATTTTATGTCCTTTACCTCATTGAATTCTTTCATCAGTTACATACATGTAAGGGATCTGACTTTCGAAGGAGTAAATAACTTGTCTATAATCACAGGTAAATGATAGAACTGTGATTTTTGGCTCAGATTGTTGTTCTCAAAATGTGTGCTCTTTTTGCTATTGTATATTTTGTGTTTACATGTATGTATGTATATTTATATACACACAGACACACATGTATTTGTGTACATAATGTGTGTATATATGTATTTCATTATTAGATTTATTTTCATAAATATTTATTTTTCTATATCCAGTTTTATTTGAACATTATCTCACTTCAGCTTATCATATTTCTCTTTAGTTTTATTTTATAAATTTGGCCTATAATACACATAGCTCTCATTGTTTAATAATACTTTAATTCCAAGTACTTTGAAATGGTCTTATAACAGTAAGGACAATAAGTTTATTCATTACTGATTTATATTTCTTAGGTTTTGATGGACATGTTTGATCAGGATGACATAGGCTTGGTTTCTCTTTGTGAAGATGAACCTAGTTCTTCAGGTGAATTAAACTACTATGACCTTGTTAGAACTGAAATTGCAGAAGAAAGACAGTATCTACGGGAACTAAATATGATCATAAAAGTGTTTCGAGAAGCTTTTCTTTCTGACAGAAAGCTGTTTAAACCTTCTGTAAGTATCTTTTTGAGTTTGAAAGTCTGTCTACCCCCAAATGTCAGATAGTAGCTTAAAGATGATAAATAGTAACTTTATAAACTTAGTGAGTATGTAAAACAAAAATATGGTTTTGTATAGTATTGTGATGTTGTTTGGCTTTATTTAAATTTTTTCAGTTTTTTATTGAAATATAATTGATACACATTCCCGAATGAGTTGTAGGTATACAGCATAGTGATTCGCAAGTCTTAAAGTTTATACTCCATTTATCGTTAGTATAAATTATTGGCTGTATTCCCATGTTGTACAATACATCCTGGTAGCCTATCTTACACACGATAGTTTTTACCTACCACTTCCCCACCCCTATAGTGCCTCTGTTCCCCACAATGGTAACCACTGGTTTGTACTCTGTATGTATGAGTCTGTTTCTTTTTTTTTTGTTATAGTCACTAGCTTTTTGTATTTTTTAGATTCCACATATAATTGATATTTGTCTTTCTCTGTCCAACTTAATTCACTTAGCCCTCCCAAGTCCATTCATGTTGCTGCAAATGGCAAAATTTCATCTTTTTATGGCTGCATAGTATTCCATTGTGTATATATACCACTTCTTTATCCATTCATCTGTTGAGGGACACTTAAGTTTCTTCCATATCTTGGTAATTATAAATAATGCTGCAATGAACACTGGGGATGTTGTGGGAGTTTGTTTTGAAAGAAAGTTACCAACTTTAAATCAACTGATTTCTTACAGAGCTTTGCCCATATTTCTGTGACAAAATCATGTTATGGGTTTTTTAGTACATGAATTGTTACACTAATATGTTCAGTGACAATGAAAATTAGACACAAAATTAGGGGAATTACACTGAAATAAAATCTTTCTACTGTGCAATATTTGAGACTTCTGGTTATTCATTTGAAGATAGTGAAAGAAATTTATGGTCTAGAAAAGAAAGATACATTTTTTCCTGTCTTTTGGTAAGTACTTTAGGGCAGTATAAAGTTTTAATAGTGAGACTTTTTAAGAATAAGAGTTTATGCAGAATGTCTCATAAACAAAGGCAGAGTGGCAGAGTTTTACTCTGCCAGGTAGGAATGCGATGAATTATGGTGGGGATCCAGGAGAGTCTTGTCCATGTTTTTCTTACTTCTGTAGTTTTCTAAGGAATCTAGCTAGACAGATACTGTGTTTGTTTGTTTGTTTAATTTAGATATCTTTTTCTTTCCTTCCTTTCTTACATGATTTATTTTTCCTTGGATGTCTAAGTGTCATTCCCTTTAAATTCTTGGCTTTTCTGTTATCTTCTAACTTCCTCTCTCACACAACTATTGTGTGTGTAAGTGTATGTGTTCAGTCCCTAAATTGTGTCCGATTCTTTTTAACCCCTTGGACTGCAGCACGCCAGGCTTCTCTGTCCTTCATGATCTCCCAGAGTTTGTTCAAACCCGTGTCCATCCAGTCGGTGATGCCATCCAACCTTCTCATCCTCTCTCATCCCCTTCTCCTCCTGCCCTCAATCTTTCCCAGCATCAGGGTCTTTTCCCATGAGTCGGTTCTTTGCATCAGGTAGCCAAAGTATTGGAGCTTCAGCATCAGTCCTTCCGATGAATATTCAGGGTTGATTTCTCTTAGGATTGACTGGTTTAATTTCCCTGCTGTCCAAGGGACTCTCAGGAGTTTTCTCCAGCACCACAATTCAAAAGCATCAATTTTTTGGTGCTCAGCCTTCTTTATGGTTCAACCCTCACATCTGCACATGACTACTGGAAAATTCATAGCTTTGATTATGTGGACCTTTGTCGGCAAAGGGATATCTTTTCTTTTTAATACGCTGTCTAGGTTTGTCATAACTTTCTTGCCAAGGAGCAAGTGTCTTAATTTCATGGCTAGAGTCACTGTCCACAGTGATTTTGGAGCCCTAGAAAATAAAGTCTGTCACTGTTTCTATTTTTTCCCTATCTATTTGCCATTAAGTGATGGGACTGGATGCTATGATCTTTGTTTTTTGAATGTTGAATTTTAAGCCAGCTTGTTCACTCTCCCCTCTCACCTTCATCAAGAGACTCTTTAGTTCCTCTTCACTTTCTGCCATTAGGGTGGGATCATCTGCATATCTGAGATTATTAATGAAAGTGTAAGGTGTTTTAATTGGCTTTTATCTTTTTTTTAAAAAAAATGCATGTTTAGTTTAACATTTGATAATAATTTCTACTGGACACACTGCCTTAAGTAGTTAACATTTTTATGTTTTTCAAAGTACTGTCCTATTTTGGGTGACCCTTAAAAATTCTCTGAGATAGGTAGGACAGGAATTATCATCTCTACTTTACTGGTGAAGAAATAGACACAAAATAGTTATGACATGATAAGTTACTTATGGGGGTTGAACTTGATTCTTTTATACCACATTTGGGTTTTGTTTAAAGTGTATGAAGAATTAAAAACTTAACAAATGCTGTTAGCTAATAACAATTGCTGGTAACTGTTATCCTCTTTACCTTTTATTCATCCCATCAGTTTTCATTCCTCAAGAATTAATTTTTATGGTTCTTTTTTCACTGAATTTGTGCTGATTTGACAGAAAATTTTCATTAAATACTAAAGGGTCATGAGAAAGAGGGAATCCCTTTATCTCTGTATTATATTTTTTCAACATAGATGAGACTGTAAACTTTTGAAATAAAGACATCTAAGATCAGAGCATAGAACTCCGTAAATATTTGATAAAAGGATGAACGACTGTTAATCCTAATTTACTCCTTTGGGGTCTACCCCTACCCCTGTGTCTTCAGAAAACTCACATTTGTGGAAGGCCTAATATATACCAGCAGCATCTTATAGAAATCATCTCATTTCATTCTCTTAAAAACCTTATGAGGTAGGTATTAATATACCAGCTGTGTGACCCTGGACAAATTACATAATTGCTCTGTGCCTCTGTTTTCTCATTCATAAAATGAAGATGATGATAGTATCTAATCTGTTATGAACTTACATGTCAGGTACTTATAGTAGTGCCTGGAACATAGTAAGTGACCAAGAAATGTTAGCTGTTATTATTGTCCTAATCCAGGGTCATTCACTTAGCAAGTAGTGGGATGAGGATCCAAGCTCGAGCCTGTTATGTTCCTTAATCCATGTTTCCATTACCAGATGCAGAATGAATAATAGTTGGCTATAACCTGGATAATCAGTCATGTGGTTTTCTTGTTTACAGAGTATTTAACATGTTTTAACCCAGATAAAATTCACAGTGAAGAGCTTGACTGAAATCTTTAATTCCTTCTCAAATTTAAGAGACAGGTCACATATTGTGGAACTACTTTGTGTCTCAGTTAGGAGTCAGATCTTCATTTTGATCCCAGCTTTTGTCATTAACCAACTCTGAGACTTTGATCAAGACTTTTAAACTGGCACCCACCCAGTTTAAAAATACTCAAATGCCAGAATTCTTTATTTAAAAAGTTGCTTAGAATCATCCACCATGTGAGATTTACAGCACATTTACTGGAAAATATAGATTCTATACAGTTTTGGTCAATAATTCTAAATCTAATCCAAGGGGTTTATTTCCCTTCCTTATTCATGATTGACTTTTGCTATGATATGGAATATATTTTATGTCTTGATTCTATACTGGTATGCGATTGGATGAAAATATACCCTTAGCACTTATATTACTTATATTTAATAATTCTTTAATGAAATTTTCAACCTGACATGTCTTAACCTTGTCTTTTTTTTTTTAGGATATTGAAAAGATTTTCAGTAACATTTTAGATATACATGAATTGACTGTGAAACTTTTAGGTTTAATTGAAGACACAGTTGAAATGACTGATGAAAGTAGCCCTCATCCCTTAGCTGGCAGCTGTTTTGAAGATCTGGCAGAGGTAAATTTACAAAACTGTTTTCCCATTAAAGTTATAAGTGCTGTATTTCTTTGTGAAAATTAGAAGACATTGCTGGCTGCTATAAAAAATGCTTAAGATTTAACCAGTAGCAAACTAAAATTACATTGTCTTTATAGTCGCACTTTATGGTGTATTTATGCTAATATTTATATCAAAAGCTGATAGACTAGTAATGTTTAAGACCTTGCTTTTTTGACGGCAAGTGCACTTAAGGTGGAAAGAAAAGAAATTTTATTGATCATTGCTTTTATTGGCCATAGAAATTTTTTTGACCAAGCTAAAAGTTTAACTTTTTTGGATTTTAGTCTTAATTTCCAAAAATGAAAAAGGAAATTTATATATTTTTTCTAAAAGTGAAAATCATATTTTTGTACTTCAAATGATTATAAAAGTAACATAACTCATTGTAAAAATGTTCAGAAAAATGTAGGTAAGTATAAGACAAAACTCACTGTTTTGCAAAACCTAGAGATTGTCTTTATAAGATTTATTTATCCTTGTGAATGTTTGTCTACATGTTTAAACAAACCTATGTGTAGTTACAAAAATAGGATCTTATTTTACAACCTGCCTTTTTTCACTCAATATCATGAACATTTTCCATCTTAATAAATATACTTCATAGCTTTTAAAGTCTGAAAGTACCGTGTAGTGTGGAGATACTATTTTAACGATCTATTATTACTAAACGTGTAGGTTGTCTTAGTTCTTTTTGTCATTATAAACGACACTATAACAAACATTTATATAATGCGTTTATAATCCATTAATTATTTTAAGATGCAGTCCCAGAAGTAGAATTATGGTACATTTTTAGAACTTTGAAGCGTTTTTCCAAATTTACTTCCAGATAAGTTCCAGTGTATGCAGGCCCTCTTTTTGGCCCCACATCTTCAGATCTGGTTGTTATCCAGTTAAATTTTGCTAGTCTAGTGAGAGAATAACAGTATTTCATTATTCTTTAATGATGTTGAACACTTTTTCATATTCATTGGTTAGTTTTATTTCTTTTGGAAAACATGTTAAAAGTTCTTTCTGTAGTTATCATGTAAATTTCCTAATTTTATAATCTCTTTTTAATTTTTCTGAAAATATGCATCACTTTTAATACATCCATTTTGTAGACAGTGGAACTGATAGTATAGAAATACTCAGTTGGTGATGCCTAACCAAGATATTTAGGCTTGCTCTTATTAGAAAGCTTTTTTTTAATATTGTGCTACCTTAGAGTATTACTTTGTAATCTGGTTGCTTATACTCTTAAAGATATCATGAGTCAGAAACATGTATTCAAAAATGTATTTTCTAGTTTTTATTTTATTTTATGGTAAAACATAATTTGCCATTTTAGCAATTTTAAGTGTACAGTTTAAGGGATAAATGAAACTCATAGTAATATACTATCATTATAACTATCCATTTCTGAAACCTTTTAATCACCCTGAATAGAAACTCTGTACTCATTAAGTAATAATTCCTTACTCTCTCCCACACAAACTCTGGTAACCCCTAATCTATTTCTGTCTCTATGAACTTGCTGATTCCAGATATTTGATAAAGGTAGAATTATTACAATATTCTCCTTTTCACTTAGCATAATGTTTTCAAGGTTCATCCATGTAATAGCATGTTATCAGAATTCCTTCTCTGTGACTGAATAATGTTACACTGTGTGTATATACCACATTTTGTCTATTTATTTGTTGATAGACCCTTCTTTTTCCACGTTTTGGATATTGTGAATAATGCTACATTAAACATTGGCATATGAGTATCTGAGTCACTTGTTTTTGGTTCTTTTGGGTGTATACCTAGGAGTAGAATTGCTGGGTCATATCGTAGTTCTTTGTTTAGCTTTTTGAGGAACTGTCAAAACTTTTCCACAGGGGCTATACCATTTTGCATTCCAAGTGTCAGTGGACAAAGGTTCCAGTGTCTCAGCATCCTTGACAACACTTGTTATTTTCTGGAAAACATACTGTATTTTTAACATATGAAAATGAAACAAGTCTTAGTTCTAACTAAACTTTGCAGATATTGATTATGATAAAATAATAGAAATTTTTAAAAATATAAACATGGACAAAATATGGGCAGTTTCTGTTTTGTTATTTTACTGTATGTTAGTCTTTGGTTTCTTTTTTCTAATTTTGAAAAAGTGTGGTAGAAAACAGCGGAAGTATCACTTCTTGCTTCCTTTGAAAATATCCTCAGTGTAAACTGCTTTTAGTCTCAATTCAGTTCAGAGTTGTGTCTGACTCTTTGTAACCCCACGGACTGTAGCATGCTAGGCAGGCTTCCCTGTCCTTCACCAACTCCCGGAGCTTGCTCAAACTCATGTCTATAGAGTTGGTGATGCCATTCAACCATCTAGACTTTTAGCCCAGGTAAACCTAACTGACGGAGAAGGCAGTGGCAACCCACTCCAGTATACTCTTGCCTGGAAAATCCCATGGATGGAGGAGCCTGGTAGGCTGCAGTCCACGGGGTCGCTAGGAGACGGACACAACTGAGCGACTTCACTTTCACTTTTCACTTTCATGCATTGGAGAAGGACATGGCGCCCCACTCCAGTGTTCTTGCCTGGAGAATCCCAAGGACAGGGGAGCCTGATGGGCTTCTGTCTGTGGGGTCGCACAGAGTCGAACACTACTGAAGCGACTTAGCAGCAGCAGCAAACCTAACTGAAATTTCAAATCCCAGCCTTATTTTACTAATAATAGTTTTTGTTTATCTGGGATAAATGTACATATGCATTTAATAGTTTGGTACTTGTGATCACAAGTCAGTGACCTATTTTAAGACTAGTAGCTTCTTGTCATCTATTGCTTAAAGTTATTATTTGTCCCCAGAATAAAAAAATGTTCTGAAACCTAATGGAGGGCTGAACTAAAAATTTGCCATTAAATAATATGTGCCATGATAGTAGAAAAGATTTTCTTTTAAACCTAACATTTTTGTTTTTTTAAAAAAAATAGGAGCAAGCATTTGATCCTTATGAAACATTATCCCAGGATATTCTTTCACCAAAATTTAATGAACATTTCAGTAAGTTGATGGCCAGACCTGCAGTGGCTCTACACTTTCAGGTAAACTTAAATTGAATGCTGGTTTTTTTTTTTTTATAAAGAAACTAAAGGAATATTTTACCAGTCCTTCAAAATCTGTTAATTGTAAACCTACTGTAAGTTGTCTTTTGTTTTCTGTCTTGAGTTCTTTGGATTTGTCCTTAATGTGGAAATCTTTTATAGAATACCATCACAAATACTGTGTGACAAGAAAAATCTGGTACACTCTAGATCTGAGATGTAGAGATGATGATGGAGAGCTATTTCAGGATCTGTTTCCCTACCAGAGATAGAACTGAAATAATAAAGAGCGGAGAATATCCTCGTGTATACTCATACTATTTTCCTTTTAGGGCTGTCATTTAAAGGAGATAGGTATATTAATGGAGATTATGCAAGTTAATTGGTTCTGTAATGCAGTTAGATAAAATGAGAGTAAGTGGAGAGAGACAAAATTACATTTTACTCTCTCAACATTTAATGAAGGTTAGATTGGCATCGATAATCCTTGACTATTTACTGCTATAGAAGCTTCCTGCATTTAAACAAGCTCTTCTCCCTTAGCATATGAATATGGTCAAATGTTTATTGTCCTAAAACAAGTGAATAAATGAACAAATCTTTGTCACTCTTACTCTTACCCCTTTTGTTTTTTTCCATTTGTCACCAATTATCTTACATTACTTTTTATCATTCTCTATCAGACTGCTACCATCTGTGCTCTAACCAGGATATAACACTAAAACCTGCCCTGGACAATGAACTTAACTGCCAAATCTTGAGGTTATTTTGATTTCCTGTTTATGTCTGTAGTATTTATGAATATCCCTCTTGTTCTTTTTGAATTCTGTGATCCTCCTTTACGTAATTCTCATTTTCTCTGGTTTCTCCTCAGTTTCCTAAGTTGCAGGTGTTACCCAACTTACATCAGCTCCTGCTGTTCTGTTCCTTTTGCTGTCCTTAGGAGGCTTAATCCATACCCTTTGCTTTCATCTGTATGCTGGTGACTTCCTTGTTTGTATTTTTAACCCATAACTTTCTTTTGAACACTGGATGTGTGTGTGTGTGTGTATGTGTGTGTGTGTGTATGTATACACCTTCATATAATCAGCAACCTTTTGAACTAATTCACTTGACTATCCCACAAGGACTTCAAATATAAATAAATAAAACTGAATGTATTGTCTTCTCCCTGCCTCCTTTACTGTGAATTCCCGTTATTATCATCTATTCCTCAAAAACTTGTCAATTTGGAATAAAAGTTACACTTAATTCTCAAAATTTACTTAATTGAAGAAATAATTTTTAAGTTAAATCTTAGATCTTCATATAAACTATAAATTAAGCATTAGTTAAATGGAACAGTATGCTTATAATATCTTTGCATACTCATTAAAAGTACAACAATTGTTTCATCCTTATTTTATTAGTTATTCTTGATGCTGCTGCTTGGTCACTTCAGTCATGTCTGACTCTCTGCGACCCCATGAACTAGATATAGCCCACCAGACTCTGTTCATGGTATATTCTCCAGGCAGGAATACTGGAGTGGGTTGCCATGCCCTCCTCCAGGGGATCTTCTGACCCAGGGATCGAACCCACGTCTCTTATGTCTCCTGCATTGGCAGACAGGTTCTTTACCACTAGTGTCATCTGGGAAGCACCCAGTAATTCTTACTATGAGATTTTAATGTTTCTGACCCAATTATTTAAGCTATTATTCCAGATATTCAGTGAAACTCAGAGTTATATAACACCCCTTTTCAGGCCAGACTCACTTGTACTCTATTAATGTAAAACAAATTTTTCATTTGTATGATGAAAAAGTAATGCTTTATTAGAAAACACAATAAAACTTTAGAAGATGTAGGCACACTTTAAGAATATGAGCTTTGGAGTTAGAGCTTCTGGCTTGGAGTCAATTATCTTACCTTGAACAAATCACTTAATCTCTGAGAATCAGTTTACTTATTTGTAAAATGGTAATGATAATGTACATCTCTATGGTTATGAAAATTAAACAGGAATACACTAAGCACATTTGGCACATATTAAACATGAAAACATTAGTGGATACTGTCTGTAGAGGCCTCCTTACGCTATAAACATACATTGCATTAATATTTTAGAATACACTTTAGTAGCCATTTCAGTGCTAATTAACAATGTAAATGACAGTTTTATAGACTAAAGTTTCATCTTGCTTTCAGTTAAAGCATTGTATATAAAATACATAAACCTATATCCAGCATAATCTATATCACTGTCTTAATTAAATGATAAATTAATCTCTGCATATTCTGGTCAAAGTCTGTTGAACAAATTATAGTTTACTTCAGTTAACACTAGGTGAGAATTATGGGTGTGTTCACCTATGAGGATGTATTTTAAAAACAGTATCTCAAACTCTTTCTTCACATTGTGTATTGCTTCTGTCTGTATTTACCTGATGAGGAGATATACCACTTTAAATAAATATATGACATTTAAAATCAACATGAGTGATTTTTAAATGCCTCATAAATTTTAGAAAATAATTTATTCTGCAGACTATTAGTTTTCAAAACTGGGATATTCCTGCTGCTGCTGATTTTCCAGGTGACACCAGGTGCAGGGAGCTTCGCTGGTGACTCAGCAGCAGAGAATCCACCTGCGATGCAGGAGATGCGAGTTTGGTCCCCGGGTCTGGAAGATCCTCTGGGGGAAGGAAATGGCAACCTACCCCAGTATTTTTGCCTGGGAGATTCCACGAACAGAGGAGCCTGGCTGGCTACAGTCCATGGAATTGCAAAAGAGTTGGACACAGCTTAGCAAAAACAACTTAGACCAAACAACAACAACTTAGCAGTATAGGTATCTTGAAGAGAATTAGTTTCTAATCTCACTTTGTGTTTTTGCATTCTCTTCCAATTTTTCCTACACATTATTTATTATCCTATGGAGTTTCCTATCATGCATTAATCCAAGGTATAAAAATCTCCAGGGTACCAATCATAAAAAAAAAAAAAAGATTGTTCCTGAAGAAGAGTTAATTGTTGTTGTTCAGTCACTAAGTTGTGTCCTATTCTTTGTAACCCCATGGACTGCAGTCTACCAGGCTTCCCTGTCCCTCACCATCTCCCAGAGTTTTCCCAAGTTCATCTCCAACGAATTGGTGATACCATCCAACCATCTCGTCCTCTGTTGCCCTCTTCTCCTTCTGCCTTCAATGTTTCCCAGCATCAGGGTCTTTCCCAGTGAGTCAGCTGTTCGTATCCGGTGGCCAGCTTCAGCATCAGTCCCTCCAAGGAGTATTCAGGGTTGATTTCCTTTAACATTGACTGGTTTGATCTCCTTACTTTCCATGGGACTCTCAGGAGTCTTCTCCAGCACCACGGCTTGAGAGCATCAGTTCTTCGGACCTCAGCCTTCTTTATTGTCCAGCTCTCCCATCTGTACATCTGTACCAGAAAGACTGTAGCCTTGACTATACAGATCTTTATTGGCAAAGTTGATGTCTTTGTTGTCTAGCACTCTGTCTAGGTTTGTCATAGCTTTCCTGCCAAGAAGCAGTCGTCTTCTAATATCATGCCTGCAGTCACCATCTGCAGTGATTTTAGAGTGCAAGAAGAGGAAGTCTGTCACTGCTTCTGCCTCTTTCCCTCCTATTTACCATAAGGTGATGGGACCAGGTGCCATCATCTTAGGTTTTTGAGTTTTAAGCCAGCTTTTTCACTCTCTTCTTTCACCCTCATCAAGAGGCTCTTTAGTTCCTCTTCACTTTCTGCCATTAGAGTAGTGTCACCTGCCATATCTGAGGTTGTTGATATTTCTCCCAGCAATCTTGATTCCAGAGCTTGTAGCTCATTGAGCCCAGCATTTCACGTGACACACTCTGCATATAAGTTAAATAACAGGGTGAAATAAACAGCCTTGTCATACTCCTTCCTCAACCCTGAACCAGTCAGTTCCATACTGGGATCTAACTATTGCTTCTTGACCCACATACAGGTTTCTCAGGAAACAGGTAAGATGGTCTGTTTAAGTGTTTCACAGTTTGTTATCATCCATGCAGTCAAAGGCTTTATCATAGTTAATGAAACAGAGGTGGATGTTTTTCTGGAATTCCCTTGCTTTCTCTATGATTCAGCAAATGTTGGAAATTTGTACTCTAGTTCTTATGCCTTTCCTAAACCCACCTTGAACTTCTGAAAGTTCTTGGTTCATGTACTACTGAAGCCTAGCTTGGAGGATTTTGAGCATAACCTTACTAGCATGGGAGATGAGTGCAATTGTCTGGTGGTTTGAGCATTCTTTAGTACTGCCCTTCTTTGGAATTGGAATAAGTGTTGACCTTTTCCAGTCCTGTGGCCACTTCTGAGTTTTTTAAATTTGCTGACATATTGAATACAGCACTTTAATAGTATCATCTTCTAGGATTTTAAATAGCTCTGCTGGAATTCCATTACCGCCACTGGCTTTATTGGCAGCAGTGCTTCTTAAGGCCCATTTGACTTCACACTCCAGAATATTTGGCTCTAAGTGAGTGACTACAGCATCATGGTTATCTGGGTGATAAAGATCTTTTTTGTATGGTCCTTCTGTGTATTCTTTCCATCTTTTCTTGATCTCTTCTGTTTCTATTAGGTTTTTATCATTTCTGTCCTCTACTGTGCCCATCTTTGGATAAAATGTTGTTTAATATTTCCAACTTTCTTGAAGAGATCTCTTGTCTTACCCTTTCTGTTGTTTTCCTCTATTTCATCACATTGTTCATTGAAGATGGCCTTCTTTTCTCTCCTTGCTGTTCTCTGGGACTCTGCATTTAGTTGAGTGTACCTTTCCCTTTTTCCCTTGCTTTGCACTTCTTTCTTCAGCTATTTGTAAAGCCTCCTCAGAAAACCACTTTGTGTTCTTGCATGTATTTTTCTTTGGTTTTGTTCGCTGCCTCCTGTGGAATATTAAGGACCTCTGTCCATAGTTGTTCAGGCATTCTGTTTACTGATCTAATCAGTTCAGTTCAGTCGCTCAGTTGTGTCCAACTCTTTGTGACACCATGAACTGCAGCACACCAGGCCTCCCTGTCCATCACCAACTCCCAGAGTCTACTCAAACTCATGTCCATCACATTGGTGATGCCACCCAACCATCTCATCCTCTGTTGTGCCCTTCTCCTCCCGCCTTCAATCTTTCCCAGCATCAGGTTCTTTCAAATGAGTCAGTTCTTTGCATCAGGTGGCCAAAGGATTGGAGTTTCAGCTTCAGCATCAGTCCTTCCAATGAATATTCAGGACTGATTTCCTTTAGGATTGACAGGTTGGATCTCCTTGCAGTCCAAGGGACTCTCAAGACTCTTCTCCAACACCATAGTTCAAAAGCATCTATTCTTTAGCACTCAACTTTCTTTATAGTCCAACTCTCACATTCATACATGACTACTGGAAAAACCATAGCTTTGACTAGATGGACCTTTGTTGGTAAAGTAATGTCTCTGCTTTTTAATATGCTCTCTAGGTTGGTCATGGCTTTTCTTCCAAGGAGCAAGTGTCTTTTAATTTCATGGCTGCAGTCACCATCTGCAGTGATTTGGGAGCCCCCCAAAAATAAAGTCTGTCACTGTTTCCATTGTTTCCCCATCTGTTTGCCATGAAGTGATGGGATCAGATGCCATGATGCCATGATCTTAGTTTTCTGAGTTTTAAGCCAACTTTTTCACTCTTCTCTTTCACTTTCATCAAGAGGCTCTTTAGTTCTTCTTTGCTTTCTGCCATAAGGGTGGTATCATCTGCATATCTGAGGTTACTGATATTTCTCCCAGCAATCTTGATTCCAGCTTGTGCTTCATCCAGCCTGGCATTTCGCATGATGTACACTGCATATAAGTTAAATAAGCAGTGTGACAACATACAGCCTTGATGTACTCCTTTCCCAATTTGGAACCAGTCTGTTGTTCCATGTCCAGTTCTAAGTGTTGCTTCTTGACTTGCATACAGATTTCTCAGGAGGCAGGTAAGGTGGTCTGGTATTCCCATTTCTTTCAGAATTTTCCACAGGTTGTTGTGATCCAGTCAAAGGCTTTGGCATTGTCAATAAAGCAAAAGTATATGTTTTTCTGAAACTCTCTTGCTTTTTCGATGATCCAGCGGATGTTGGCAATTTCATCTCTGGTTCCTCTGCCTTTTCTAAATCCAGCTTGAACATCTGGAAGTTCATGTTTCACATACTGTTGAAGCCTGGCTTGGGGAATTTTGAGCATTACTTTGCTAGCATGTGAGATGAGTACAATTGTGTGGTACAATTTGAACATTCTTTGACATTGCCTTTCTTTGGGATTGGAATGAAAACTGACCTTTTCCAGTCCTGTGGCCACTGCTGAGTTTTCCAGATTTGCTGGCACATTGAGTGCAGCACTTTCACAGCATTGTCTTTAAGGGATTTGAAATAGCTCAACTGGAATTCCATCACCTCCACTAGCTTTGTTTGTAGCAATGCTTCCTAAGGCCCACTTGACTGCATTCCAGGATGTCTGGCTTTAGGTGAGTGATCACACCATCGTGGTTATCTGGGTCATGAAGATCTTTTTTGTATAGTTCTTCTGTGTATTCTTGCCACCTCTCCTTAATATCTTCTGCTTCTGTTATGTGCATACCATTTCTGTCCTTTATTGTGCCCATTTGCATGAAATGTTCCCTTGATATCTAGATCTAATACCATGAATCTCTTCATCACCTCCCATGTAAATTCACAGAGGATTTTATTTAAGTCGTACCTGACTGGGCTAGTGGTTTTCTTTGCTTTCTTTAGTTTAAGCCTGAATTTTTGCTATGAGGAGCTGATGATCTGAGCCATAGTCAGCTTCCGGTCTTGTTTTTGCTGACTGTATACAGCTTTTCCATCTTTGGCTACACTGTAATCAGTTGATTTCAGTATTGACCATTTGGTGATGTCCATGTGTAAAGCGATCTCTTGTGTTGTTGAAAAAGGGTGTTTGCTATGACCAGTAAGTTCTCTTGGCAGAAATCTGTTAGTCTTTCTGCCTTGCTTCATTTTGTACTCCAAGGCCAAACTTGCCTGTTACTCCAGGTATCTCTTGACTTCTTACTTTTGCGCTCCAACCCCTTATGATGAAAAGGACATCTGTTTTTTGTGTTAGTTCTAGGAGGTCTTCTAGGTCTTCTGATCACCTTCAGCTTCTTCAGTTTTGGTGGCTGAGGCATAGACTTGGATTACTGGAATGTTGAATGGTTTGCCTTGGAAACAAACTGAGATCATTCTGTTGTTTTTAAGGTTGCAGCCAAGAACTACATTTTGGACTCTTTTGTTGACTGTGATGGCTACTCCATTTCTTCTAAGGGATTCTTGCCCACAGTAGTAGATATAATGGTCATCTGAATTAAATTCACCCATTCCCATCCATTTTAATTCACTGATTCCATTATGATAAAGGAGAGGGGAGCCTTATAAAGTTCTCATACTTGAACATGCTATGTTAGAAGCAGTTATAATTTCTTTCAGGTGCTTCCTATACTTAAGACTGTGATATTAACATGTATATTTCAATTTAAGAGTGAAGTCAGGCCTGTTATGGAAATTTAGTCTGATCTGGCTGTTTATTTTGACAGTGAAGATTGGCTGTTATCAATTAAGTTATATGACAGCATTTTTCTTAAGTTAAATGAGCTAAATCTGAAATTTATTTGATCATTGTTTGGTGAAATAGGTTTAAATCACATCTGCAATGTACAACATCCCCCCAGACACATTCTTTGTAACTACTTAAACTTAAAACATTTTGAGTAAAAGTGACATAAAAAACCGTGAGAAGATGTATAGCTTTTCAGCATTCCTTTATGGTATGTGGAACCCAAAACTTTTGGAAAAAAAGCTGAGAAGTCTATTGTTAATTTATATTAGCCATGAAAGATGAAATGTATATATTTAATTATCTGATAACTTAAAGAAGGAACAAACTTGATTTATAGCACTCCATTTCAATATAGAATGCTTTCAATATAGTTTTGATACATCTCCATCTTGGTTTTTTTTTTTTAAGTCATGCTCAAAACACAAATGAGGTTAGACTAGAAACTAGTTCCATTAAAGATATCTGTACCCTTATGTTGCTGTTGTTTAGTCTGCATTGTTATTATTGTAGTTTAGTGTAAGTTGTTATTGTTGTTGCTGAGTTGTGTGCAGCTGCTGGGATCTTAGTTCTCCCACCAGAGATTGAAACCAAGGCTCCCGCAGTTAACGTGGCAAGTCCTAACCACTGGACCGCCAGAGAGTTCCCTGTATCTTATATTCTTAAAAACTACTTCTGTTAGCTACTGCTGTTCACATAACCTTTATATCAGAGATATACTATTTTGTCTTTTCACTTTGCAGTCCATTGCTGATGGTTTTAGAGAGGCAGTTCGTTATGTCCTTCCACGCCTTATGCTGGTGCCAGTATATCATTGTTGGCACTATTTTGAATTATTAAAGGTAAGATAAAAGTTTTCTGAACAAAAAGACATACTTAGATTTATGAGACTGAAAAACTTTTTATCTGATGTTAGTTTTAGTAGTTTTTATTCATAAAAAGAAAGTATCTTAAATGTCTTACTACTTCCCATGGACCATAGAGAAATGACTTTATTTTTTATATTCATATAATTTACAAGTTGTAGATAGGGGAAAATGTATCTTTATCTATCACTTGATAATATAAATTCTCAAAGTAATAACATTAAAAAGTTGACTTTTTAAAAATTAATTTTTGGAGACACACAGCAACAGTGGTTTAACTTCATATTTTATAAAGGTAATTAATAACTTTTATGTATAACATTGTTCTAAACTTCTGTCATATATAACTTGTCAAGAAAAGCACGTTTAAAGTTGATACATTTTGCCTATGCAATGTAGTAGGTAGAACCCAAGTAATAAATTAAAAATTAGAATTGTGATAAAACTTGAACTCTTTTTTAAATATCAGTACACATAAAAATATACTGAATTTCTAAGGGTCTAATATGTAGTATAAACTTTATTATGATGTATACTTAGAGAAAAATGTAAACATACTTTAAAATAAATAAATGTAATGTATAAGCACACCAGAGGTAAGTCACTGCTCTGACTTTAATGGCAGTTACTTTTTTGCTTTTCTTTAGTTTGACCACCTATGTATATATCAGTAAAAATATATGTAGCCTGTTTCTGAGCTTTTTATCAATTAGATCAAATTATTATAGTATTTTGTGTCTTTTATCTTCTCTCAAAGTTACATTGATATTTGCAAGATTCATTGATCCCATGGACAGCAGAGTCTGATGGGCTGCAGTTCATGGGGTCACAAAGAGTTGTACATGACTGAGGACTAACACACAACATAAGATTCATTGATGTTATTTTATGTTTTTCTAATTTAATTTTCTTCCATTGTTTGAATAAACCATGATTTATTTACTGTTCTCTGGCTGAACAACAGTTTTTTTGGTATTATTGATAACACTTCTATGGATATTCTTTTTTCTGTCTCTTGGTATACGTGTGCATGCATTTTGTTTCTCTATAGTATGTACTCAGGGTTAGAATTGCTTGGTCATAAGGTGTGCATGTTTTCAAATTTAATAGATGAGGTCAAGCAGTTTTCCAAAGTGGAAAGTTTTCCAAAGTTACACAGTTTATACTCCTACCAGAATGCATGATGTCTCTTTATGCATTTTTCATATTTAAGATTTTCTATCATATGATCTATTTATAATGGTAACTAATGTTTTTATTTTATATTTTCTGGATTATTAATGTGTTTGTACATGTTGATTGGCCTTTTGAATAACTTTTTATAGGATTGTTCAAGTCTTTTGCCATTGTAAATATCTTCTGTGCCTTGTCTTTGCAGTTTTTCTTATTGTTGTGCATCAACTAAAACTGAATATATTCCATATTTCTAAGAGTTTAGTTTCACTGATGAGATCATGTGTGGTTTCTCTTTATTATTCATTCTTTAAAGCCTTAAACCCTACTATATAGATATTATATCTCTGTGTATATAGAATATACTATCTTTGTCTATATATAGACACTATATCTATACCCAGTTGTTGGTTTAGACAGCCTGTTCTAACTTTTCCACCTGACTCATTAGTAATATTTAAAGTAAAAGCCAGAATAACTGTACTTCGTAGACATCTAGGCAAAGAAATCTTTAGATGGTTTCTAATGAATATCTTGGCTTCCCTGGTAGCTCAGTGGTAAAGAACCCACCTGCCAAGGCAGGAGATGCAGGTTTGATCCCTTCATGAGGAAGATTCCCCTGGAGAAGGAAATGACAACCCACCCCAGTATTCTTGCCTAGGAAATTCCATGGACAGTGGATCCTGGTGGGCTACAGCCCACAGGGTTGCAAAAGTCAGACAGGACTTAGCGACTAAACAGTGACAACAGTGAATATCTACCTACCTCAAGAATTCTTTTTTTATGGAGTCTTACTACCCATAATGTGTGATGCTGGAGCTCGCTAGCTTTTGTACACAAATAGATGAGCGCCTTAATGTTGTGTATCTCCATGGAGACTGATGGATCTATAAAGAACTCATAGAAAGGATTGTAGGCTTCACATGAATAATATATTAGCAGCCACAGATGTATATTTAGATTCCTAAAAGTTTTTAGAGAATGTTCATGTCTAATTGGAAGTCCCATCATTAGTTTTATAGTTGCCTTCTAGTATTTGCCAACATTTAAAAATCCCAACTTAAAAAAATACATAAATAAATAAAAGTCCCAACTTAACTATAATAGAAGCTTACTTTTTTCCACCTGTCTAGATGATTGGTTTTAAAATCTCTGAGGTCTGAATCTAAAATCAGACGTTGACTATAATGGCCTGATTCATCCTAATGCCACAGCTACTTTTACTACCAATTAATTACTGGACTCCAAGTATTTTTAGCCGTTGTGATTGGGACTAGTAGTTGATCAGATAATTGAAAATGAACTGAAGAATCATAAATCATTTTAATTATCAATCATAATCATTTTAATAAACACAAAACCCCTAGAAATGAACATTTGTATATATTTGTATGCTAATCTGTTGACATAGGGTAAAACCTTTTCTTTGAGTATGAATCTTGCTTAAGTCACAAAAAGTATCTCTATGATTTCTATTTTCTATTTCTTTTAAGTGGTACATAACCTTGAAGATCCTTGTAAAGCGATCTGATTGCAGAAATCTAAATTTTTATAATTTTTCCAAATCTTTTATGATTGTCTTCCCTATATCTTTTAAAAAAGACTTGCCTTTAAAGTTATTAGATTTGAGTTTTCATATAAATATTTTTATAGTCATATTTCTTTAGCTTATATAGTTATTGAATTATGTAATTACAACATAAGCACAGCTGTCATTCATATTTGGAAACATTTACTACTGGTTCCTGGTAAATTTATGACTCAATTAGTGGGATCAGAAGGGCCTAGGTATCCCAGAAAGTGACCCATTCATTTATAGCATTATTGTCCTGTGGGAATCAGTCTGTATGTTATACAGTGGGAATGATTCATAGTAAGAAATACATTTAACATCATGATAATGCTATACGAATACACACACACACACACACACAAAGCAAAAAGGATTTTGAAATGCTACTCAGCATTTCATGCAATACATTCACACTCTATATTCTGTTATATTCTGTTCTGGTTTTGTTTTTAAAAGGATGCATTCATTTCATAATTCAGTAGATTATGACATATATTTTGAAAAACCAAAATAAGGACTAATTCTAGACATAAGCAAAGAAAATTATCACATGATCAGATAAGAAACTACTTTTTACTTTTTTATCTGTTCTGACTGTGATACTGTTCCTTTTAATAATATTTTACTATTTTTTAATTGTGGTCAAACATGAAATTTCCCATCTTAACCATTTTAAGTGTATAGTTCAGTAGTGTTAAGTATATACACCCAGTGTTGTTGGACACTTGAATTGCTTCTACTTTTTGCCTATTATAAATAATACTGCTGTGAACAAATATGTCATCAAGACTGTTTTCAATTCTTTGGATATATAGCCAGAAGTGAAATTGTTGCATCGTAGAGTAATTCTGTTTTTAATTTTTTGAGGAAGCACTGTATGATATTCCATAGTAACTTTATACTATTATACATTTCCACCAATAGCACACACTCGTTACAGTTTCTCCACTTCCTTGCCAGCACTTCTTATTTTTTATATTTTTAGTTTTTGATAATAGCCTTCCCAATGGATGTGAGATGTTATCTCATGGTTTTGACTTGTATTTCCCTATTTGTGACAGTGAGCATCCTTTTATTTGATTTTTGACCATTTATGTATCTTCTTTGGAGAAATGTCTATTCAAGTCCTTTGCCCACTTTTTATTTGGGTTATTTGTAAATATTTTTGTAGTGGTTTCATAGGAGTTATTTATATATTCTGAGTATTAATATTAAACCTTTTTGGATGTGTCATTTGCAAATACTGTCTCCCATTCTGGTGACTGTCTTTTTGTGATACTGTTTGAGCTCAAGCACTCATCCAAAAGAAATTTCATTTCATATTGAGCTTACTTTGGGAGGAGACCCATAGGAAAGAAGGCTCGACCAGTGTAACTTAAGGCTGTCATGTTCCTTTGGGAATAAAAAACACTGTTCTGCAGCAGTTTTAGGCCAGTTTTAATTTGAAATATTTGCCTTGGTGATGTACCAAGGGAGATTTATTTATAGACATAATGTTTAAATATCATTTGAGTTTTACTTCCCAGAGTCAGAATTTATGATAAGCAAGACAGAAATACAACTACATAATGAGAAATTATAGGATATCATATATAGTTTTCCTAAAATTATTTTACACTTGTAAAATAGTATTATTTTGTTGTTGGATTATTATTATTTCTAGCAATACTTTAAAGTTCATGTTATAGGCAATACGATTGTTTTTTTGTTCTTTTCCAATTTAAGCCCCTCTGGTGTTAAACTACTTTCATTTTCTTTATTTTTCTCAGATAAATTTTAGATTTTTTCCCTTTAATATTAATTCCAACCCTTATATAAGAGGAAACAAATCACAAATTCATTTCCTGATTTATAAGCATCTTTATAATATACTTCTTATATTCTAAAAAAAATCTGTTTATCCTTCTGTTACTAGGAACATACCAACTCTCAGTTCAGAATTGATTTTTTCAAATCCAAGTAACATTCTTCTACTCTCTCACTCTGGTCATTCCCTGGAAATTTAGTAATGGAAAGAATAAATATTTTCCTCTGAAGAGAACTTAATCTATCTTAATTTGAAGCTTAACAGGAATACCTATTATTAATAACTTTAATGAAGTTCATTGGGAAAGATAAGCCAATATTTCAGTGAAACAGTTGAAAATGTTTCTTTAGGTAATCTTTTTTTTAACCTTTTACTTTGAAAAATATAGGGAAAAAGTTACAAAAATAATATGCTCCCTTCATCTAGATTCCCTAATTGTTAACATTATGTAACAATTACTTTGTCACCTACAGAGAAAGTGACACAAAAGCATTCCTGTGTGTGTATGTGTGTAAGTGTATTTATAACATCAAGAAGTTGATATAATGTCTATTAAAAGAAATGTTCTGACTCTTGAAAAAAATATGTGAGAGTATTTTACTATGTAATATTTACTCTTTCAATACTGACACATCACTCAAAGATATCTGAAGGAAGATAATGCACATTTTTTAAAAGCACGTAAAGAGAAGTAACAAGGTTTTATTGAGTTGAATTTCCCACCAAATTTCTAAAATCCTATTTTTATGAAAATCTAGAGAGAAGTTTATTACCAAAAGAGAATTGATCACATATATTATTTCACATCTAAACTGAACACCCAGCATAATAAATTAGAGATAAATTCATAGTTTATTATAATTTCTTCTGTCTTAGCCACATATATCTGTAATAAATGTGCTTCCCAGATGGCTTGGTGGTAAGAATTCACCTGCCAATGCAGGAGACACAGTTTCAATCCTTGGGTCCAGAAGATACCCTGGAGGAGGAAATGGCAACCCACTCCAGTATTCTTTCCTGGAAAATCATACAGGCCATGGGGTCACAAAGAGTTGAAAATAAATGAGCCCATATCCCAAATTAATACAGCAGTTTATAGAAATTCAAGAGTTTCAGTGAAGTCTTAGAGTTAAGAGAAAACTTACATAAAGTATAAAATCTCAGGCAGGAAAAAAAAAAAATCTCAGGCAGGATACACATATATGTTACTGAGGAGAATAGTGTTTATCAGGTAAGCAAGGAATATATTCTTCAGTCAAATTCATAAGGTACTACACATTAATGAAAGATAGTGTTAGTCGTGTGTTAGTTGCTCAGTCGTGCCCAACTCTGCGACCCCATGGACTGCAGCCCACCAGGCTCCTCTGTCCATGAGATTTTCCAGGCAAGGACACTGGAGTGGGTTGCCATTTCCTTCTCCAGGGGATCTTCCCAACCCAGGGATCGAACCCGGGTCTCCTGCACTGCAGGCAGATTCTTTACCAACTAAGCTACAGGGGAAGCCTAATGAAAGATTATTTCCCTTTATTGCTTAGTTTAAGCATAAATTGCAAGGGCATTTATTCTCTTTGGGAGAAGGAAACGTCAACCCACTCCAGTATTCTTGCCTGGAAAATCCCACGGACAGAGGAGCCTGATAGGCTACAATCTATGGAGTCGCAAAGAGTCCAACACGACTGAGTGACTTTACTTTCTTTCACTTTCACTTTTATTCTCTTTGACCTCTTTCCCAAAGCACACTTCATTTTATTTCTTAAACTGTGTTATTATCCAGTTTATTTTTAAGATAAAGGGGAATCCCCTTCAATTCATTCACCAGAGTTTGGCATAGTTCAGTTTTTTGCATAATTGTGTTTGGTGTCGTTGGAGAGAGACATGCAAAAAGGATGGGCCTTGGAATCTGAGTTCCTTGGTTTGAATATAGACTCTGCCATTCATCTTGGGTGCCTCAGTTTCTTCATCTGTGACATGTATATAATGATAGTACCTATCTTACAGAGTTGTAACAAGTATTAAATAAGCTAATGCATAAAAGAGCTTGCCCAGAACACTTTTTATCAAGAGCTTAACAAATGTTCATTGTTGTTATTTGTCTAAACACTTAACAAAATTCTAAGTATTTATACAACAGTCACTCATTCTCATTACCTTCTTGGGTACCTACCATTTATGGGTACTGTAGTAAAAATGAATAAAATATATCCCCAAGCTAAAGAGTTCATATTTTAGTAAAGAAGAGACATGTCAGACCAATAATTACAATATAAGTGCCTAATAGAAGTAATTCTATGGGATAGTGAGGCAGGAGTTACCAACTCTGTCTAGGAAAGTTAGAAAAAGATGTATATGAGTGTTGGGTATGCTGGAATTTATCCTCCTGTTCTGGTATGTTGGTGTTATTAAATTGAGGGAGCCATAAAAGACAAATGCTGAGGGACTATTACAGATTAAAAGAGATATAGAAACATGACAACTAAGTACATACTGATTGGATCCTGTATTGGAGTGGGGTGGGGGTGGGTGGGATTGCCCTAAGAACAGGATTGGGACAGTAAGCAAAAGTTTCCTGAAGTTGATCACTATACTGTAAAAGAAATTTTGTTCCAAGACACACTGCTGAAATATCAGAGGAATAAGGGGAATGACACTATTTGAGAATAGTTTGTGATGTATTTGAGTTTCCCTGATGTTCCAGAAACAATCTCAGAGCCATTTAGCAATGGCGGGAGACCTGGGTTTAATCCCTGGGTTGGGAAGATCGCCTGGAGGAGGGCATGGCTACTCACTCCAATATTCTTGCGTGGAGAATCCCCAAAGACAGAGGAGCCTGGCGGGCTACAGTCTGTGGGGTCACAAGGAGTCAGACACGACTGAGCGACCAAGCACAGCACCTTCCTCAACAAGGAACTGAGAGAATTGGTCACAGACTGCTCTCAGATAGTCAGGGGGCGAGCGCCCACACACACACAGAACGGTGTAGCCTTTGTGGTGGTGGCAGTGTTAGTTGCTCAGTCATGTTCCACTCTCTGTGACCCTACGGACTGTAGCCCGCCAGGTTCCTTTGCCCATGGGATTCTCCAGGCAAGAATACTGGCGTAGGTTGCCATGATCTCCTCCAGGGGATCTTCCCCACCCAGGGATTGAACCCAGGTCTCTGGCATATGCAGGTAGATTCTTGTAAGTTAAAAGCCTGTGACTCCGAATAACAAGAGTTGCTTACATTATTTTCATAACTTTTCTACAAATTTGATATTATTTCAAAGGAAAAAATTCAAGGGGGAGGAAAAAGCAAAGAGCTTCCTAAGGAGGAGGCATTTGAACTGTATCATAGAGGCTAAATTCACCAAGTAGATAAGAGAAGCAAAGACAGATATGTAGAAAGCACCATCAATGTGAAAGAGCATGACTTACATGCAAAGTAATTCAGTATGGTAATTTCTACATCATGGTAAGAATACATTCTCTCAAATATCTATAGAGAATTAGCTTGGGTTTTCATTTATCTGATGTTTATTGAATCTTACTGCCGAAATTCAAGAAATGTTTATTTAATTTAGCAAATTGTTGGACTGTGTTCATGCCAAAGAAAGCCATTGTTTTGTATACTTATATCACTGGGAAATCCTATGCTTTAAATATCCTGAAGTTTTATTTCTCCTTGATAGCCTGAAATTATTCATGGATATGTAGAAATGATAAGGCCACTTGGAAGAGTTTGAGCAACCTTAAGATGAAATTTACAATAGAAGTTTAGTATCCTCATACATCTAAATTGAAAAGCAGTTCTCATTTTGGTAGAACCTCATTATTAGTGATAATTTGGATCAACAGAAGCAGTAAGAATAAAAAATCTGTAATTAAGCATTTTGTATCATCAGTGTCTATATTAGGGAAATATTTTAGAGTGGAGCTGAAAAGAATCTTTTCATAAGAAGCTTTCAAACAGCAAAATGAAGTGATTTGGTAGTAATGTTCACCGTTAGAAGTCAAGGTGATCGAACACTAATCACTTTTTAAACCTGTGGGTTTTTTTAACTCTTTTTCCCTTCATCTTTTCAATTTATTTCTTAAATCTAGAGATGACGGTAGTCACTTAAATTATTTATATTGCAAATCTTTAATAGCAAGACTTCTATATGTATCTTGAAAAATATCTAATGGGTCTGTGCTCCATATAGAGAATAATTTCTAGACATATATGTGAAAGGTAATGGACCTAGTGCTTAAACAGCATCCATTCAGTTCCTTGCTGAGGAAGAGGAGCCATCGCTGAATGGTTTTCAGGTTGTTCTTGGAGTATAAGGAAAATTTATCACAAAATTTCTCGTTAGGCAGTTTAAGATCATGAAACAGACTTAAACTTCAAAAAATTTTCTGAAGCGATTTTAATTTTTCCATATTCTCATATAAATGTGTATTTGTATCTACATAATCTCTGTATAATGCTCCTCTGGGAGTTCTTCTATCAAACAAAGCACTGAAGCATCATCCAGTCTGAATTATTTATTATAAGGTGAATTTTTTTCCATTTTGAGACTGAGCTATAAGAGAAGTTTTTGCTGAAATGGAATAAAGCCAGAGTTGTTAAGATTGACAATATAATTTGTTATTATAAATGTCACTTCTAAGGATTAATAAGATAGGATATTAATTTTCATGGATTCTTGATGTTTACCAGAATGGTTGAATTTTATGTTGTAAAAAATGTCAGTTGAATCTTTGTGTGATGCTGTTTGTAGAAAAGTTTATGAAAGATTGAATTGCTAAAGTTAGCATACTTGATTTTATTTTGTAACAAAAACATGCAAGCTCTTAGAAATCGCTAAAAGTTAAGAATTTAATCATTAGAGAATGTGAAATAGTATGTGTTTATCTTTTCTCTATTCATAGTTACAAATAAAAGTAATTGTAAGCCTCGTGTAAGCCTTGTCTTTTTCAAGACATTTTCTGGAAATACCTGGAGGTTTATTTTTTGTTTTTTTATCATTACAATGGTTATAGTACTTTATATCTGTATTGTATTTGCATATGTAGAAAGAGGGCTGGTTTGAAGGATCAGGAGGTATACTTAATTATACAAATTGTAATTGTTTTTATTAAGTATACTTAAAATTCTTTAAGAGTTCATAATATTTGTTGCTGCTTCCTCTAAGTATGAGAAAGGGAAAGAATTGAACAATGCAGGTTTAATTTTTCTGTTTGATTTTTCTTAGCAATTGAAAACATGTAGTGAAGAGTATGAAGACAGAGAATGTTTGAACCAAGCTATTACTGCTCTCATGAATCTCCAAGGCAGTATGGACCGAATTTACAAGCAGTATTCACCTAGACGCCGACCTGGGTAATTCCACACTGTTGAAAATATGAATGCTTATGCAGTATTTCACTTATATCTGATATCTGGTTTTCTAAAGTGTTACTTACAGTGATAGCTACATTCTTGAAATTTATATTTTTGTTTTACATTTTTCTTTTGCCCTTTAGCCTTTTAAAGTTGTTGTTGTCACATTGTTAAGATATATTTAATAAAATTTTAAAAAGATATATTTAATAACTTTTATATCATTTATATAAGAAATTTAGTATTGTTTTCATTTTAATTCTTAGGACCTCAGGAATCATGTCAAATCTCTACTATTTCTCTTTCCAGATAATGAAATTGAAGCATGTATTATTTAATGGCAAAGTTAGGAGAAAGTAAATACTGTGTGCAAAATTTAGTGTTTAGTTTTTTAATATTTTTGTCACTTGATTTAAAGTAGTTTATACTTCATGCAGTTAAGGTTGCTTAGCCATTGAGTAAGCTAAATTTATCTTGTTTTTTGTTGTTTTTTAGGGATCCTGTTTGCCCTTTTTATAATCGTCAATTAAGAAGCAAGCACCTGGCTATTAAAAAAATGAATGAAATTCAGAAAAACATAGATGGATGGGAAGGCAAAGATATTGGACAGTGTTGTAATGAATTTATTATGGAAGGCCCATTGACAAGAATTGGTGCTAAACATGAACGGCATATTTTTCTCTTTGATGGCTTAATGATTAGCTGCAAACCCAATCACAGCCAGTCACGCCTTCCAGGATGCAGTAGTGCAGAATACAGATTAAAAGAAAAATTTGTCATGAGGAAAATACAAATATGTGATAAAGAAGATACTTGCGAGTGCAAACATGCATTTGAGTTAGTATCCAAAGATGAAAACAGCATAATATATGCTGCTAAGTCTGCAGAAGAGAAAAATAATTGGATGGCAGCACTTATTTCCCTTCAGTACCGTAGTACTCTTGATCGAATGCTAGATTCAGTATTATTGAAGGAAGAAAATGAACAACCATTGAGATTACCAAGTCCTGAAGTGTATCGTTTTGTGGTAAAAGACTCTGAGGAAAACATTGTTTTTGAAGACAACTTGCAGAGTAGAAGTGGAATCCCCATTATTAAAGGAGGAACTGTGGTGAAATTAATTGAAAGGCTAACGTATCATATGTACGCAGGTATGTGAAGCTCTTTACAAGTGGTTATATAGGGCAGAGGATCCAAAACCTTCTCAAGATTGTTCAGAAGCACTTAGGGCCTCGGAAGAAAATGGCCTGCCTCTAAAATTTAAAAGGAATACTGCAGAATCAATAGGAATAAATACCTAATTAAATGTCTATATAGTGTTAACTTCATTAATAAATATACATCAAAATTTTATATTCATGAATCTTGAATTTGAAAACATCCCTTTATCAAGAAGCAATCCTTTATCAAGAGATACCACAATTGGCAGGAAAAGCAACAGTGGGAGGAACCAGAAAAAAAAGAAAGGAAGGAAGGCCTCCAAAATATGCTACTTTGAATGAATTAAACTAAGTAAATTGAATATGCAACCTGTTCTGTGCTCTGCCTTTTCAGATCCCAATTTTGTTCGTACTTTTCTTACTACATATCGTTCATTTTGTAAACCACAGGAATTACTAAGCTTACTGATTGAACGGTAAGAAAAATATTTATTTCACTTATATTTACATTTTTTTTAAAATTAACTTTTTTACCTTGCAAAGTGCTAGGTACCTAGTATGTACTCAGGTAGTTGTTGAATATAATTTATTCAACATTAAATTTACAGTATTATTATTCTCTTCAAGTAGCATACTTACTGAAATCCCTGTTTATAACAGATCTTTTCAGATCCTAGCAAAATTTATAGTGATAATCAGAAAGACTCATTTTTATAGGATAAAACATATGAATTTTAATGAAATTTTTTCTATGCAATAAAACAATACTTGAGAGAAGCGTTTTACTTTTAAAACAAACTTTTTATTGTGAAAAATTTCAAAACATCTGCAAGAGAAAATATATTCTGTTAATAAATCCCATTTATCAATCATCCAACTTCAGTAATTATCTCCTTGTATTTCATTTGTTTCCCTGCTGATTTGAACACCCTAGTCCCAGGATTATTTCGAAGTAAATCCTTGGCAACATATTTGTCTGTAATTATTTCCATTAGTATTTCTAAAAGATAAGTATTCTTATTAAAAGCATAATCACAATATCATTATTAGACCTAAAAAATTAAGATTTCCTTTATTGAATAATTTTTAAAAATTAAGTTTTGAATTGACTTTTTCTTTTTTACTGAGTATGTTAGTGGTACTTTAAATGCTTTATAGGTTAAACTGTAGTATTTGGGCTTCAACATAATTTTGTTTTCTATTTTAAAACTTTACCAGATTTTTATCTGGACCTTTATCATTATGTTGTTCCATGAAGCTAACTATACCAGACTGAGTCAGTATAATGTGCTATGAAGATTTACTTGGTTGCCTTTCCATGTTCAAAATAAGGAATTCGTATATATCTTATATATATATATATATATTTATTTATTATTATTATTATTATTTATGTGAAAGTGTTAGTCACTCAGTTGTGTTCAGCTCTTTGTGACCCCACGGACTGTAGCCCACCAGGCTCCTCTGTCCATCTAATCCTCCAGGCAAGAATACTGGAGTGGGTTGCCATTAGCTTCTCCAGAGGATCTTCCTGACCCAGGGATCAAACCCCCGCCTCCTGCATTGCAGGCTGATTCACCACTGACTGAGCCACCAGGGAAACCCCATTATTATGTTTTAGCTACATTTCCTATGGTTGGGGAAGGTTTTTTTTTTTTAACTTTGATTTTTTTTTTTATTCACTTAGTTATGTTTTTTAAATACTATTTAAAATTCAGTGTGGGACTTCCTTTGGATTTAAATTCATTTATTTAAGGAAACTTATATTACTTTCATTTTAATAAAATATTAAAGACAAAGGATTAGATAAGGTATCTCTGTTATGTTTTTAAAGAGGTTGTACTCTTTATTGATTGTCTTCTTGGATCTTTTCCATTGACTTTTTCTACGTTGGTCAGTGCTAGTTATTAAACTTTTGATAAAAATAAGAATATAAGTATTCAGTACTATATAGCTAAAGGACAGTTTTTTGTAGTATGTAGTACTTTTTATCAGTAGTTTCACTTTTCACATAAATGGTAGGAAAGAAGTTTGCTTATTAGTTTAAGTATCTTTCCTGCTATATTTGAAATCCTTATTTCTGTATGAACAACAAAAAATTTTCTCTCATTTTGCTTTTCTTCTTAGATTTGAAATTCCAGAGCCAGAACCTACTGAAGCAGATAAATTGGCATTAGAAAAAGGCGAGCAGCCCATCAGTACAGACCTTAAAAGGTTTCGCAAGGAATACGTCCAACCAGTACAACTTAGGTTTGGCCTGAATATTGTATTTTTTATGTGTCATTCAATTTTCAGTATATAGTTAGCACAAAAATCTTTACCTCTTAATTCAGATGTAGGTTATTACTATTAATTGCATAGCAGTTAAACTTTCAAGTTCTTTCTATGTGAAGCTACTCTTAATTCCCTGAAGAAATTTAATTATTAAAATATACTATGTTATATGCATCAGATATCTCTCGCAGGCAATATGTTATGGCTTACTGGCTAGGGTACCTAATAAGTAAAAATATTTTAATTTTGTATGAATTTTGCCTACTGTCAGTCCTCTCTACCCTTTTGATTTCATTTTTGTCTCAGTGGGATCATTTAGTAATCCTGGACTTTTTTCTGTTTATAATATTTATGAAAGTTCTAGTTCTTCCCCACTCTTTTTCCACAAGATATATCGATATATGTTACTTATCTAAACAGTGTCATTTCAGTAATTGTTTTTTTATGACTTAAAAAAAAATTATTGAAGTATAGTTGATTTATAATCTTGTGTTAGTTTCAGGTATATAGCAAAGTGATTCAGTTTTATATATACTTTTTATCTTTTTTACATTGTTTTCCTTTATAGGTTATTACAAGATAATGAACATAGTTCCCAGTGCTATACAGTTGGTCCTTGTTGGTTATCTATGTAGTAATTTCTAAAAATGTATTCAGTAATAGCATCTGCCAGTTGTTACGTTACTCTGTGTGCCTAAGTGCTTTATCTTTTTTATTTCGTCCTCACAGTTACTATTTTCACTTTGTTTAAGAGAAAATTGAAAGTTAACAGAATAAAGTAATTTGATATAGGTCGTATAAAAGGGGTGACAGGACAGGGTTCAAACTCATATCTGACTGCCTAAGCCAGTGCTTGTTTGTTTGTTTCAATGTTCAGTGAGCATTGAAAATTGAAAGCTCCTTTGATTAGGCCTATTTATAGTGCAAGTGAAACTTTAACCTTTTCCATGGGAAAACTGAGTTATTTTATTAGTTATATATGATTAATATTTATCCTGTAAATGTTAAGTTTCCTTGATTAATGTTAACCAGTAAACTGAAATTTTAAAACTAAGTATACTAAATGTTAGTTATTATATTGAATAACTTATATAAATAACTTATTTAAATAACATTATATATAATGTATATTAAATAACAATAACTTATTATATTAAATAATAATTAATTATTATATGAAATGTTCAAGGATGATTGCCACAAATAAATGCAGTTTTAGAGGAATGATGATGCTTCCAACTATATATCTCTTAGCCAAAACTTTTAGTATGTCATTCTTTGTGTAAGAAGATGATGCCTTAAGCCACTGAGCTAACCAGGCACTTAAGGTTGTTTTATTACAAATAGCATTAGAAATTTAGAGTATTTTCTTAGTCTGGGAAAAAACTTGCCTGACAGTTACTGGGTGGTTGTGGAGGGTATAGGTGGGAAGATAACCTAAAAATAATCATTCATTGAAATAATGAAGGAAAAATGCTAATGAAATTAATATATACTATATCTTTGTGATGAAGAATGGAATGTTATGTTTGTGTCAGTTGTTTACATCTTTATTTGCAAGGTATAAGTAATTAATTTTGAGGTACTTTAAAACCAAATGGGCTTCCCAGGTGGCGCTTAGTGGTAAAGCCCGCCTGCCAGTACAGGTAGATGTAAGAGACGTGGGTTCGATCCCTGGGTTGGGAAGATCTCCTGGAGGAGAGCATGGCAACCCACTCCAGTACTGTTGTCTAGAGAATCCCATGGACAGAGGAGCCTGGCAGGCTGCAGTCCATAGGGCTGCACAGAGTTGGACACGACTGAGGTGACTAAGCCGCAGCAGCGTAAAACAAAATAGCTCTGTCAGAAGTACTTTGTCTTTTGCAATAAAAGAGTGTGAGCCTACCTGTAAATACAGGTAATTTGATGATAGCGCTTACATTTAGAACCAAATACACTAAATCTTAGTTGGTTTTCAAATTTTAGATCTTTCAAAGAAACCCTTTTACAATTGAAGAACTTAAAAGTAGCTTTTGTTGAGAATGAATTTTCTACATATGAAAAAAGAAAAAGTACTTTTCCATGCTTATAAAATTAGAGACTCTTGGGTTTTATATTGGCTCTAGTGTATAAAAGTGTCACCATGGCATTAGAGAAGTGAAAGAAGTATAATTGAATGCTTGGGTTTTACTAAAATGTGTTTCTTTTCATTTGTCAGGATCTTAAATGTGTTTCGGCACTGGGTTGAACACCATTTTTATGACTTTGAAAGAGACTTGGAGCTGCTTGAAAGACTAGAATCCTTCATTTCAAGTGTAAGAGGTATATTATTTAAAGATTTGATTGACTCTTCTGTTCCACATTAGGTTGTTTTTTTTTAAATTTATGTGACTTTCAATTTAAGAAGCTAAACTATTTTTCATTTTAAAAAAGTAGAAGTAAGATTTGGAATAATTTTTATAGACTTTAAGGGTCTCACATATGTTTAGAACCACCTGAAGTGTTAGAGTTTTTTAGGAAAATCTTTTTTCTTAAAGAAGTCAAAAATCCTCTTTAGTAAATTTAGAACTTTATCTCATCTCATGGCTGCCACTCCTTTAGCTAATTAAATATTTGTGTAATTTTACCTGTTTATTTTCCTTTATCTTATTCTTCAGTTTTGAATGGTTAACAGCTTCTTGGGATTGAAGGTTTAGTAGCTGAGTCATGTCCAACTCTTGCGACCCCATGGACTGTAGCATGCCAGACTCCTCTATCCATGGGACTCTCCAGGCAAGAATACTAGAGTTGGTTGCCATTTCCTTCTCCAGGGTATCTTCCTGACCGAGGAATCAAACCCAGGTTTCTGGCATTGCAGGCATATATTCTTTACTGACTGAGCTATGAGGGAAGCCCTGACAGCTTCTTAAATAATAATATTTCCCCTGGAGAAGTTTTTGGTATGTTTTTAGCACCTGAAAGATAGGGGTTTCCTACCTGAAGTTGTAGAGCACAGTCCATAAAATGAAACTCTATGCAGTGAACATCAAACAAATGTATGTATCAAAATATGCAACATATCAGATGTATGCTGTTGAATCCAGAAAATTCTTGTTTTCCCTGATAGTATAAGGCATTAATTAAAAATATTGGAATATTGTAAATTAAATATAGCTTCTTTCATCTCCTACTTGTTCTTTAAGGTGACTTTTACTTAAAATAGAGAATGTGATTCCTTTGTTTCAATTTTGAGATGTTTAAAACACATTTTTACCATGTGTGCTTTATAGTACTAAGTTGATTTTTAATTTAATGTTCTTAAGACACTAGATTTTATTTGCTATAAGAAGCTTCTAAAATACACATATTAGAATAAAACAGTTAAATGGTTTTGTTTAAAGGCCTTTTCAATACAAGTTATTCCTCAAGATAACTCAGCAGTTGATGAGGGAAAGTTTTTTTTTTGAAGATTTTTTTTTTATAATTATATTTATTTGTTTTTAATGGATTGATGATTGCTTTATAATATTGGCTTGGTCTCTGTCATGCATCAACATTAATTAACCATAGGTGTACATATGTCCCCTCCCTCTTTAACATCCCCATCTCCCTCCCCATCCCAGCCCTCTAGATGACTGCAGAGACCCCATGTGAGTTCACATACAGTGTGCTGTGTGTGATTCATACAGCAGATTTTCATCGGCTGCCTATCTTACCTGTGTTAGTGTAATGCTTCTATGCTGCTCACTCCATTCATCTCACCCTCTCCTCCCACTCCCCTGCTGCCTTTGTCCATAAGTCTGTCTGTGTCTCCATTGCTGCCCTGCGAAGAGGGTCATCATGACTCTTTCTATAGATTCCATATATGTGCGTTAATGCACAATATTTATTTTTCTCTTTCTGACTTACTTCACTCTGTATAATAGGCTCTAGGTTCCTCCATCTCATTAGAACTGACTCAGATGTGTTCCTTTTTATGGCTGAGTAGTATTCCATTGTATATATGTACCGCAGCTTCTTTATCCAGTCATCTGTTGATGGACATCTAGGTTGCTTTCATGTCTAGCTGTTGTAGAGTGCTGCAGTGAACATTGGGATGCATGTGTCTTTTTCACTTTTGGTTTCCTCAGGGTATATGCCTAGAAGTGGTAATTGCTGGGTCATAAGAGTGAAAGGTTTTGTAGAAGCATTGCAACTAATAAGTGAAGAAGGAATGACAAATTAGAATATTACCATTTCTCAAACTCACAGTAACATCATAAAAAGACATTTTATGCCTCCTGTCAGAAATATTCTTGCAAGTATTCATGTTTAAAGTTTGTCCTAGACCAGATCAATCTATATATGTTGATTTACAGAAAATACAGAGACAGAGAAATAGGGCTGATGACACCACAGAGATTTAATTGGCAAAATTTAGACTTGGGAAACACCACAAGTGATTGAATTTCAACAAATAAATTGTCCGAAGAAATGAGAGATAAGAGAGGAACCTGTTGATTAATGGAGTCTTGAGACATACTGACTCAGTGCAATGTGTACATCTTGTTTGGATCCTATTTCCTACAAACCAGCTGTAGGAAGACAGTTGGTTCCCTGAGACAATCAGGGAAATGTGGTTACTAACTAAATATTTGATGATATTAAGAAGATATTGTCATGTTTATATGTGATAATGGTATTGTGTTTAATTTTTAAAGTCTTAACTTTCAGGTACATACTTAAATATGAGTGAAATTATATTGTACCTTTGATTTGCTTTGAAATAATATAAGGAATAGAGGGAGGACATGAGTGATATTAGGTAAAACAGTTGCTGTGAGTTGATAATTGTTGAAAGTAGATGAAAGTTACAAATTATATGAATATTTGCAGTTAATGTTTGTCAAGTATAGGGATTTTTTTGTTTGTGTTCTTTTTCTAGGGAAAGCTATGAAGAAATGGGTAGAGTCAATTGCTAAGATCATCAAGAGGAAAAAACAAGCTCAGGCAAATGGTATAAGCCATAATATTACCTTTGAAAGTCCACCTCCACCAATTGAATGGCATATCAGCAGACCAGGACAGTTTGAAACATTTGATCTCATGACACTTCATCCAATAGAAATTGCACGTCAGCTGACACTTTTGGAATCTGATCTCTACAGGTAGACAATTAACATTAATTCGCTTCTGTGTTTTCAAGAACATTGAATATTTCTGTTTTCAGAACTTTCTGAAAATTATCCATGTGTACTTAAAAATACTTCATCTAGTGTTATGGGCTAGGAGGAAAGTTCATAGCAATTTTTTAATTATAATCTGTTCTGCGAATGAAAGTCTTACAAATTACTGCTTTTTAGGCCTAGATTAGGTACTAGCAATCCTTCACAAGAGAAGAGGCAAAGAGAAGACTAATGCAATAGAATAAGCAGGCACTTTAGACTGTCACCTTGTTCCTATTCCTGATGCTTTCTCTTATTGCTTTAGTTTAACTTGGTTCAGTTAAGACAGTCAGTATAAATGCTAGGCTCTGGGCCGCTCAGTCAATAGACTGTTGAGTGAGATAAACTTTCTTCTTTTTTTTTTGCTCAAATACTCTGTAATAAAAATTTTGATTTGGGACTTGACTGGATTAGCTTTGCAAGGCAAATGAATAACAATTCTTAGTGGAATAAAGATTTCTTCACTTCTTTTAAGGAGTCTCAAATACTTTAGTTATTTGAAATTAGTATTGACTTTAAGGATTTTTGAAGTAGATGATGAACCATACTTAAAACTTGTAAATCGTTTTCTTTTATTTGTAAGAATCGCTAGAAATATGCTTGACTATTTTTATCTGTATCCCATCGTTTGTCTTTATATATAAAGCAGTTCCTGCCATCATCCTGTATCCACACACATCACGCATTTACAACCTAACATTTTACTATCATGGCTGTGGCATTTCCAGCATCACTCTCTACTCCAAATCAGACACTTCCCTTTGTCATATTATTTACTTCAAATTTTATTCCAAAATTACTGACTCACGTATCTCATTCTCTCTTTTCAACTTGCTTTATTAACTTCTTCGTCTGTCAGGTTTTTTTTTTTTTAAACCCCTAACTTTTCCCAGTGCGTTAGCTTCTTTCTGTCTTCTCCTCCCTCATAATATAAGCTTTCTTCTTTCATTTACAACCCAGGTTCCTGTGAAGAGTGGAGGCCTTGCGAAAAAAAGAGTATAGACCTTGTAGGTAATCACCACCCACTCAGTTCAGTTCAGTTTCTCAGTCGTGTCTGACTCTTTGCAACCCCATGAATCACAGCACACCAGGCCTCCCTGTCTGTCACAAACTCCCGGAGTTTACCCAAACTCATGTCCATCAAGTCAGTGATGCCATCCAGCCATCTCATCCTCTGTCGTCCCCTTCTCCTCCTGCCCCCAATCCCTCCCAGCATCAGGGTCTTTTCCAGTGAATCAACTCTTCGCGTGAGGTGGCCATCAGATTGGAGTTTCAGCTTCAGCATCAGTCCTTCCAATGAACACCCAGGACTGATCTCCTTTAGGATGGACTGGTTGGATCTCCTTGCAGTCCAAGGGACTCTCAAGAGTCTTCTCCAGCACCACAGTTCAAAAGCATCAATTCTTCGGTGCTCAGCTTTCTTCACAGTCCAACTCTCACATCCATACATGACCACTGGAAAAACCATAGCCTTGACTAGACAGACCTTTGTTGGCAAAGTAATGTCTCTGCTTTTTAATAAGCTGTCTAGGTTTGTCATAACTTTCCTTCCAAGGAGTGTCTTTTAATTTCATGGCTTCAATCACCATCTGCAATGATTTTGGAGCCCCAAAAAATAAAGTCTGCCACTGTTTCCACTGTTTCCCCATCTCTTTGCCATGAAGTGATGGGACCAGATGCCATGATCATAGTTTTCTGAATTTGAGCTTTAAGCCAACTTTTTCACTCTCCTCTTTCACTCTCATCAAGAGGCTCTTTAGTTCTTCTTCACTTTCTGTCATAAGGGTGATGTCATCTGCATATCCGAGGTTATTGGTATTTCTCCAGGCAATCTTGATTCCAGCTTGTGCTTCTTCCAGCCCAGCGTTTCTCATGATGTACTCTACATATAAGTTAAATAAGCAGGGTGACAATATATAGCCTTGACGTACTTCTTTTCCTATTTGGAACCAGTCTATTGTTCCATGCCCAGTTCTAACTGTTGCTTCCAGACCTGCATATAGGTTTCTCAAGAGGCAGGTCAGGTGGTCTGGTATTCCCATCTCTTTCAGAATTTTCCACAGTTTATTGTGATCCACACAGTCAAAGGCTTTGGAATAGTCAATAAAGCAGAAATAGATGTTTTTCTGGAACTCTCTTGCTTTTTCAACGATCCAGCGGATGTTGGCAATTTGATCTCTGGTTCCTCTGCCTTTTCTAAAACCAGCTTGAACATCTGGAAGTTCACAGTTCACATACTGGTGAAGCCTGGGTTGGAGAATTTTGAACATTACTTTACTAGCGTGTGAGATGAGTACAGTTGTGCGGTAGTTTGAGCATTCTTTGGAATTGCCTTTCTTTGGGATTGGAATGAAAACGGAGCTTTTCCAGTCCTGTGGCCACTGCTGAGTTTTCCAAATTTGCTGGCATATTGAGTGCAGCACTTTCACAGCATCATCTTTCAGGATTTGAAAGAGCTCAACTGGAATTCCATCACCTCCACTAGCTTTGTTCATAGTGATGCTTTCTAAGGCCCACCTGACTTCACATTCCAGGATGTCTGGTTCTAGGTGAGTGATCACACCATCGTGATTATCTGGGTCATGAAGATCTTTTTGTACTGTGTATTCTTGCCACCTCTTCTTAATATATTCTGCTTCTGTTAGGTCCATACCATTTCTGTACTTTATTGAACCCATCTTTGCATAGAATGTTCCCTTGGTATCTCTAATTTTCTTGAAGAGATCTCTAGTCTTTCCCATTCTGTTGTTTTCCTCTATTTCTTTGCATTGATCACTGAGGAAGGCTTTCTTATCTCTCCTTGCTATTCTTTGGAACTCTGTATTCAAGTGGGAATATCTTTCCTTTTCTCCTTTGCTTTTTGCTTCTCTTCTTTTCACAGCTATTTGTAAGGCCTCCTCAGACAACCATCTTGCCTTTTTGCATTTCTTTTCCATGGGGATGGTCTTGATCCCTATCTCCTGTACAATGTCACGAACCTCTGTCCATAGTTCATCAGGCACTCTTATCTATCAGATCTAGTCCCTTAAATCTATTTCTCACTTCCACTGTATAGTCATAAGGGATTTGATTTAGATCATACCTGAACGGTCTAATGGTTTTGCCTACTTTCTTCAGTTTAAGTCTGAATTTGGCAATAAGGAGTTCGTGATCTGAGCCATAGTCAGCTCCTGGTCTTGTTTTTGCTGACTGTATAGAGCTTCTCCATCTTGGTCTGAAAAGAATATAATCAATCTGATTTCGCTGTTAACCATCTGGTGATGTTCATGTGTAGAGTCTTCTCTTGTGTTGTTGGAAGAGGGTGTTTGCTATGACCAGTGCGTTCTCTTGGCAAAACTCTATTAGCCTTTGCCCTGCTCCATTCCCTACTCCAAGGCCAAATTTGCCTGTTATTCTAGTGTTTCTTGACTTCCTACTTTTGCATTCCAGTCCCCTATAATGAAAAGGACATCTTTATTGGGTGTTAGTTCTAAAAGGTCTTGTAGGTCTTCATAGAACCATTCAACTTCAGTTGCTTCAGCATTACTGGTTGGGGCATAGACTTGGATTACCATGATATTGAATGGTTTGCCTTGGAAACGAACAGAGATCTTTCTGTCATTTTTGAGATTGCATCCAAGTACTGCATTTTGGACTCTTTTGTTGACCATGATGGCTACTCCATTTCTTCTAAGGGATTCCTGCCCACAGTAGTAGATATAATGGTCATCTGATTTAAATTCACCCATTCCTGTCCATTTTAGTTCGCTGATTCCTAGAATGTCGACATTCACTCTTGCCATCTCCTGTTTGACCATTTCCAATTTGCCTTGATTCATGGACAGAACATTCCAGGTTCCTATGCAATATTGCTCTTGATAGCATCGGACCTTGCTTCTATCACCAGTCACATCCACAACCGGGTATTGTTTTTGCTTTGGCTTCATCCCTTCATTCTTTCTGGAGTTATTTCTCCACTGATCTCCAGTAGCATATTGGGCACCTACTGACCTGGGGAGTTCTTTTTTCAGTGTCTTATCATTTTGCCTTTTCATACTGTTTGTGGCGTTCTCAAGGCAAGAATACTGAAGTGGTTTGCCATTCCCTTCTCCAGTGGACCACATTCTCTCAGACCTCTCCACCACTAACCCTGGCCAAAAAGTAAACCTGTACCACTATGGTTGTAGCAAAAACTTTTCTGCGTTTAGGAGCTGTTTTTGAAATACAGACATCCTTAAGAAATTATCCTGATTAGCAGCCATTGTTTTTTTAAACTGAGATTACACAGGGAAAAGCAAGAATATATAAAGTTTAATGTTAGTGGAGAATGTAGGAAGGCACCGGATATAAAACTTGACCTTCTTTACAACTGGGTTTCTGATTTGCTCTGGTTGTGCTGTTGAGAATTTAGTACACACATCAGGGATTGTTACCATCTGATTCAGAGTGTCATGTTATATTTTAAATAATTTGGAGCCCAAGTGGTTTTTGTTTGTATTATAGGATTTTTTTTAAGGAAAAAAGTTTTTTAATTTGAAATTTTAGTTAATACACAATATTGTATTAGTTTCACGTGTACATTATAGTGACTCAATATTTTTGTGGCTATTGTATTTAAAGTTATTTGAAAATATTGGCTGTATTCCCTGTACTATACAATATATCCTTGTAGCTTATTTGTTTTGTTCATAATACTTTGTTACATCTTAATTACCTATCCCAGTTTCTCCTCCCTTCTTCTTCTTTCTTACCAATAACCACTAGTTTGTTCTCTATATCTATGAGTCTGTTATTCATTTGTTGGTTATATTTTTTAGATTCCATATATATGTGATAACAGTGTTTTTCTTACTTTGCTTGACTTATTTCATGTCACATAATACCCTCTAGGTTCATGGGCACTTAAGTTGTTTCTTTTCTGTGGGATTTGTGATAGGTGGGAATGAAGAGACTTATTACTTAGATAACAAAGCAAATAGTATGAAATTAGATTTTTCCTTACAGTGTTACATGAATGGACATCAGGAATAAAAAAGCACTGAGCTCTATGTGGACCTACTTTCAAAACATAGAAATCCCTTTTTTAAGTGATATGTGTATTATGGAAGAAGGATACCATACGTAAAACACTGATACTCTGTAAACTAAATTTCTGGTGAAATAATAGAACCAGTTAAGAAAATTTATTTCCAAGACTGTTCAGAGTACCCTTTTGTATTCAAATCTACTGGATTTTTTTATTATTATAATAACCAGGTCTATAGGACAGTGATGGCAATACCATTGGTCAATATTTTAAAAATCATATAATCCTGAATCACTATATACAGTGATTTAATCTGCTTTTACAACTGATTGTTTTTTATTTAAAAATATAGAAGATAATACTGTAAGGACTCATCAACAACAAAAACATTACAAATAAAATTGAAACCCTTTGTGTAAGTCTCTCCAATCCCATTCCTCTTCTTTCTCCCAAAGGATAATTGCTATCTTATATTTGGCATTTACTACTCCTTTGTGTATCTTTATAATTTATACACATACAACCATTCATAAACATGTAGCATTATTTTACATGTTTTAAGTCTGTTTCTACCTATGTATAATTCTGTAACTTGTTTTTTTATTTAAATCGTTTCTGGCATTTGTTCAAGTTGCTGAGTATCATGCCAGTCTGCTTATTTTAATTGCTGTGTTGTATTCCATTGTATGAATACTCCACAGTTTATCCATTCTCTTGATGATGAGCATTTAGGTTGTTTGGGATTTTTCACTCTTGCAAATTTTGCTTGACTGAACATTCTTAGAAATGCTAGATGATCTAGTATGTATATTTTCAGTGTTATGAGATATTGTGAAATTTTTTGAAAAGTGGTTATATCTATTTTTATTTGCACATCAGTGATGGGGAGTTCTCTTTTTTCCACATTTTTATCCATTTGGTGTTAAACTTCTCTTAGTGTGATAGCAGTAAAGTGGGATTTCATTGTGGTTTAATGTTCTTTTCTCTAAGTAAGAGTTAAAATATTCCTTCATGTCCATAGCTATTCAGTTCTGTTTCTCTGTAAATTTTCTCCTTGTATGTTTGTTCACTTATCTTTTAAGCTAGTTATCTTTTTCTTATTAAGCTTTTGGAGGCCTTTAAATAATTTTGATACTGATCCCTTGTAGATTAAGTGCATGGATTTTTGGTTCCACAGGAAAGTTCAACCTTCTGAACTTGTAGGGAGTGTATGGACCAAAGAAGATAAAGAAATAAATTCTCCAAATTTATTAAAAATGATTCGGCACACCACAAATCTCACCCTCTGGTTTGAAAAGTAAGTTTTTACTTCTTTGTATTATTACTTCTTAATATATTCCTATAACATTAAGTCACATATAAGCAAACATTCTGGATGAAAATGTATATCTTTTCTGTATGAAATAAGGCATTTGCTTCTTGCTTTCTAAGTCATTTTTTTTCTTTTTGTTAGATGCATTGTGGAGGCAGAAAATTTTGAGGAACGGGTGGCAATACTGAGTAGAATTATAGAAATTCTGCAAGTTTTTCAAGATTTGAATAATTTCAATGGTGTACTGGAGATCGTCAGTGCAGTAAATTCTGTATCAGTCTATAGACTAGATCATACCTTTGAGGTAAGTTTTAGGCTTAAATAGTTTATCCTTTTGAGAGGAGATAAAATTAATATGAAAGAGATTCCTTCTACCATCAATCTTTTTTGAGTAAATCCTTTATAAATCTATCTTACTCCTGAAGCACAGTATCACAATATTAGAAAATACATCAATATATGCTAGTAAGCCTAGAATTCATCAAAGAATATGCGTTTTGTGACTGTTTAATATGCTTACCTAAATGCTTCCCCCGTGGTTCAGATGGTAAGTATTCTGCCTGCAATTCTGGAGACCCAGGGTCAATCCCTGAATCTAGAAGTTCTCCTGGAGAAGGGAATGGCTACCCATTCCAGTAGTCTTTTTTTTTTTTTTATTAGTTGGAGGCTGATTACTTTACAATATTGTAGTGGTTTTTGTCATACATTGACATGAATCAGCCATGGATTTACATCCAGTAGTCTTACCTGGACAGTTCCACAGACATAGGAGCCTGGTGGGCTACAGTGCATGGGGTCACAACCAGTCGGACTCAACCGAGCAGCTAACACTTTCGCTTTCAAATGTATGAAGTTCCAAATGTATTTGTTCAGTAGTACATTGACTGACAGTTTCAAATAAATGACTAAAAGTATTTTAAATATAAATATACAAATTACTTTAATTACCTGTAGTATATAGTCAAAGAGTAACATGGAGAGAATGCTTTCTAAAGCTTAAATGTTTTTTTAAATTATAAAAAATAATTGTGTAAACATGGTGTATGTATTCATGTTTATCATTAAAAATTTGGAAGATACAGAAAGTATAGAAAATTTAGAGACTCAGGCATGCAAATGTATTTGCCTTTGAGAATGTGAACTTTTACAGTGTTACTGGAAAGTAATCTGGCAACAGATGTTAAAATACACGTACTTTTGGACACAGAATAAAAGGCTCAGGACTATAAAATTAAGGTTCAAAGATCTAGTTTCTGCAGCACTAATTGTACTAATAGTAGCAGAAAGCTAGATCCAACCTGTATGTCCATCAATAGGTGAATGATTATGTTATCCTATCCCTATCATGTGGAATGTATTGGTTGGCTAGGGGAAAAAGTGACTAGAATCTATGTGTATGTCTCTAAAGAACAGTGTGACATTCAGGGGAAAAGCCATTTCAAAAATCTTTAGAAAAATTAATATGATTTCATTTTGATAGAACAGAACAAAACAAACTAAAGATGTAAGTGGAGTTGCACAAGCTCTGAGAAGAGCGTGGAAGGATATGTACTCTTCACTTAACATTCATTCTTACAGTGGGTTGTGATTAGAGGGGAGTATAGGGTTAAACTGCTTTCATGTATGTGTTTTTCTATTTGAGTGTTTGCATGTTATTGATTTGTATGAGCATATTATATATTAACGGAGAAGGCAATGGCACCCCACTCCAGTACTCTTGCCTGGAAAGTCCCATGGACGGAGGAGCTTGGTAGGCTGTGGTCCATGGAGTCGCTAAGAGTCAGACATGACTGAGCGACTTCACTTTCACTTTTCACTTTCACGCACCATAGAAGGAAATGGCAACCCACCCCAGTGTTCTTGCCTGGAGAATCCCAGGGATGGGGGAGCCTGGTAGGCTGCCGTGCCGTCTATGGGGTCGCACAGAGTCGGACACAACTGAAGTGACTTAGCAGTAGCATTATATATTAAAGATGTTAATAGTCAAATATTGCCAAATATTAATCTAAGAGACTATTAACTTCAGTTCTCATTTTGTAAACTCTAAAGAAATGTATTCATTTTGAGAGGTTAAGCTTTAGTTTCTTAAAATATTAAATATTCAATAATATTTCTTAAAATAGGTATATGGTATAAGGAATAAAAATACAAAAAAAGCCTGTTTGCCTGACACCCAATTTAAAAACCTTTCCCAATTCCATCTCCTTTGTCCATTCAGAGCCAACTACTGTGCTAAATATTGTGTTTATCATTCTTTTGCTTTTTTTCTATGGTTTTACTATTTGTAGCTCTAAACAATGTTGTTTTTCTTGTTTCTTAATTATATATGAATATAATTCTTCCAAGACTTTTTTCACTCAGTATTATATTCCTAAAATTCATCCATGTTGTTTCTTATAGGCCATTCTTTTTTATAGCTGTATCATATTATAGAAATAGATTCTAGGGGTTAGATCTGGTAGAGTGCCTGAAGAACTATTGACGGAGGTTTGTAACATTATACAGGAGGTGGTGATCAGAACCATCCCCAAGAGAAAGAAATGCAAAAGGGCAAAATGGTTATCTGAGGAGGGCTTACAAATAGCTGAGAAAAGAAGAGAATCGAACGACGAAGGAGAAAAGGAAAGATATATCCATCTGAATGCAGAGTTCCAAAGAATAGCAAGGAGAGATAAGAACCCTACCTAAGTGATCAATGTTAAAAAATAGAGGACAACAATAGAATGGGAAAAACTAGAGATCTCATCAAGAAAATTATAGAAATAACTTTACTAAAATTTATTTGCTTAATTTATTTATTAGTTAATGGTCATTCATATTTTTTCTAGTTTGATGCTACTATCAGTAATATTGTCATAAACATTTTCTGCCTATGTCCTGGTGCATACATGTACAAATTTCTCTTACATCCCTAGAAGTAGAATTATTGGACAATAGAATAGATAATGCCCAGTTGTTTTCTCAAATTACTGTACCAGTTTATACTCCCAATGGAAACATACGAACTCTGGTTGTTCCACATTCTCACTAACACTTGATATTGTCAGTTCTTTTAATTTTTCTAGTCTTGTGGGTTGGGTTTATAATTTCTTGAGTTCTATTGAGTTTGAACCTCTGTTAAGATGTTTATTGACTCTTTATATTGTGGAAATTTTTTTACTTTTCTTGCTTGAGTTTTTCTCATGAATTCGTATGAGTTCTCTCATATACTATATCTTAATCCTTTGTCAGTTATGTTTGTTATAAATACCTTTTTTCCAGATCAAAGCTTCTGTTTTCACCATTTTTATTATGTCTTTTGATGAACAAAAATTCTTAATGTCACACCTATTTTTTCCTTTGTAATTTGTGTTTGTTGGTATCTTGTATAATAGATCCTCCTCTGTTATCTTAATGTTTTCTCTTTCTCATTAAGTCCTTAATCTAGCTGGAAACAAGTTTTGAGTATGCAGTCTAATTTCATTTTGTGTTCCATTTGGCCAGCCAGATGATCCCACATCTGGTTTATTAAAAGTACATTCTTTCCTCATTGATCTCTAGGTGCTAGCTATGTCATAAATTGAGTATCCATAAATATGTGGTCCTGTTTCTGGTTCCTCTGTCCTATTCCTTTAATGTATTCCATTATTCCTGTGCTAGTGCTGCAAGTTTAAATTGCCATAATTTTATACTAGTTCTTGATACACTATAGTAGGCCAAGTCCCCACCAAGCTTCCTTTTTCAAGAGTGACTTTACTCTTTTTTTTTTTTTAGTTCCCTGAGCAGGGATTGAAGCTGGACTCCAGCAGTGAAAGCACTGAGCCCTAACCACTGGTCTGTCAGGGAATTCCCAAGAATGACTTTTTCTTGACCCTTTGCTATTATGTAATTGTAGAATCATCTGAAAGCTTGGGGTATTCATAAGAATTGTACAGGTTCTATAAATCAATTTTGAAGAACTGACATTTCTACAATAATGAATCCTCCCAACTACAAACATAGTGTATCTCTCCATTTATTCATTTATTTAATAAAGTTTTATGGTTTTCTTGATGAAGACCTCACAACTGTTTTGTTAGATTATATTAGAATATTTTAAAACTTGTTTTCTTTATTGATGATATCCATAAATGCAGTTGATTTTTGCTTATTGGTTTTATATCCAGCAATATTGCTAAATTCTTTCATTAACATTCTAAATGTAGATTTATTACATTTCTTTACATAATCATTTCCTCTGTGAATACTGGCAATTTTTCTTCTCAGTCCCTAGTCTTTTATTTATTTGTTTGTTTATTTTTCTTGTCCATTCTAGTTAGAACTTCTGTAGAGTACTGAATAAAAGTTACAGTGCAGTCACCTTTGCTTTTTCCTTAAGTTAAAGGAAATGAGTTGAGTGGTTTTCCATCAAGTATTTTGCTATCAATTTGTGTGTATGTGTGTGTGTGTGTGTGTCAGGTTAAAAATGAAATAATTGATTATTAATTACAAAATATAATAATGAAAGATAAAATAAATGACTGTTTGCTTGGTTTAATAAATTTTTGTTCAATTCTTGACTCCCTCCCTTGGCCTTCCCCTCTTTACCAAAATCTTATTACCCTTCCAGTAGAAAAATACTGAATGCCATGGGATTATATTTTTCTCCTATAGCTATAATTTGAAACTCCAGCTAATCAGGATTATAACTAATAATGACTTAAGGGAGATTGTTTTATTGTTTAATCCTCTAATTTATATTAGAAAAAAACTAAGTTTTAAAGTTCTATATTTATAGATAAGTCATTTCCAGCAAGTAGAGATAAGAATACTACTGATCTCTAAATTTAAAAACTTTTTTTTCAAACATTTGTAAAATATTAAAACTGAAAGCTCTGCACCTAAAAAATATGATTGAGTTGTTTAAAATAAAAAAACAAATTATACTCCATTTATATATTTTAAAGGCGTTGCAGGAAAGAAAAAGGAAAATTTTGGATGAAGCTGTGGAATTAAGTCAAGATCATTTTAAAAAATATCTAGTGAAACTTAAATCAATCAATCCACCCTGTGTGCCTTTTTTTGGTAAGTTACAAAATATGGATTTATATTTTGAGGGAGAGTTTGTTATATAGCAAAAAGAGACCAGCCTTTAGAAGCAGATAGTCCTGATTTTATATTTGAGCACATCTACTTTTATTAGCTCTCTATATTGATAAATAAAACCTAAACTCTCTATGTAGACTCTTATCTATAAAACTTCTAATTCTGGTAGTTATAGATTGTAAGGAGTCCTGTGGAATCTCTTCTATAAGAGCAGTAGTCTCATTCATGAGGGCTGCACCCTCATGAGTTTAGCACCTGTCCCAGGGATGGGGGAGCCTGGTGGGCCGCCATCTATCAGGTCGCACAGAGTTGGACATGACTGAAGCTACTTAGCAGCAGCAGCAGCAAATGCCTCACCAATTCATTCTGTCACATTGGGCATTAGGATTTCAACATATGAATTTTGAACATTCGACTATTCAGATTATAGCACACACCAAAAATGTCTCCAGACATTCCCAGATATCTGTCCCCTGGGGGACAGAATTGCCCCCAGTTGAGAGCCGCTGATGTAAATGAATCTAATTATGTGTGAAAGAGAAACTGAAAACTTTCTTCCTGTCCAAAACTGAAGAATAATTCATTTGTGTCTAAATTACAGGCTCTGGGAAAGCAGAATTAGCTTACATATCTGTAGTCGTATTAACCAGAATTGGCTTAAAAGTAATTTGTTGGTCAGTAATCACTTAAGATCATTGGTATTAAATATTTTATCAATAATCATTTAAGATCATTGGCGTTAAATATTTATAGTAAATATTAAAATGGTTAGAGTAGATTTAACACATAATTTAGACTGTGAATGAATCCTCCCTTTATTTTAGGCTATTGGACTAAGAAATGGCAAATTAAGCTCTTTATAAACCCTAATTTTCTTTCAATTTTAAATTATTTCCATCCATGTAAAAAATTCTTCAGTAGAATTGATTATTAAATATATCAGAGATTTCACTAGTAAGAACTGCTGTATTATAGGATGTCTTTCAACTTTACTAGATCAATTGTTTTCCCAAATGGTTAAGTAACCAATTTTAAAACTTTTCTTCAAATACTTTTTTTACTAGGAATATATTTAACAAATATACTGAAGACTGAAGAAGGGAATAATGATTTTTTAAAAAAGAAAGGGAAAGATTTAATCAATTTCAGTAAGAGGAGGAAAGTAGCTGAAATTACTGGAGAAATTCAGCAGTATCAAAATCAACCTTACTGTTTACGGATAGAACCAGAAATGAGGGTAAATATTTTCTTTGCTTATCTTTAAAAGAGAACATGTTAAGTCCTCTGCCCTCTCTAAGAAATTCCATAGCCATACAGTATGATCTTTATTTTGCTATGAAAGTAATATGCATTAATGAATCAATAGATAGAAGTGGTGAATGTTAGATATTCTCCACTAACAATCTGATGTTATAAATATTACTAGGCACTTTGTCTTGACAGTTATTGCTTCTTTGTGCAACAGGTTTAAGTAACACTTCCAAAAAAAATGAATGACAAAATGGAATGAAAGATGCTTTCTGATGTCCACACAGTAAAAAGAAAATCCACTGCCAGTACTATCATTAATTAGTAGACATTTTAGGTATTTTACATGTGCCAGTATAACATTAAGTAATTAATACCTTTATAAGAACACTGCAGTAGGGGAAGGGGTTGGGAGAGTGATGTGTATGTATGCATAGCAAAAAAAATGATTTTTTAAAAAATATTTTATCATTTGATATCCTGTTTTGAGCAATAGTTCATAATATTGTTTCTGTGGTACTATAAGGTGTGAATATCTTCTAAATTAGAGTAAATACTATGGTATTACGTGTTTAGTAAGTAGATATTATTGTGTTACGTTTATTTGAAATTCAGAACATATAACTATCAGAGTAAGTTTACCTTTCACATTAAAAATTGTGCTGCACTTTAAGATATAGTCTGCAGGTTGAGCATTTTGAGTGAAAATGGTCACTATCATTCCCATCCTCCTAAATTATAATACGGTAACTATTCTTTGTTCCAAGTTCAAAACAAAGAACCCTAAAGTCCTAAGAAAAATTGACCTGAAGCATACACTGTTGTGAAAATATAGACAGATACTTACTTTAAAGAAAATGGTCATTTGTTTCATCCCCTTCTCTCAGCATTTAGCCAACCCTCTGTGACTTGGTGCTACATAGTGGTAAAGAAATGTTCTTGAGGGAATTCCCTGGAGATCCAGTGCCATGGACCCAGGTTCAATCTCCGTTCAGGGAACTAAGATCCACAAGCAGTGTGATGGGGCCAAAAAAAAAAAAAGAAATGTTCTTGAAGCCCAGATTAGAATTCACATGTATTTCCTCCCAGAAATAATGTTGCGTTTTAGTTGGGTATAATTAAAATAGTGCTTTTAGCATTCATATCTCAATAATTCCTGATAGGTTTCTGGATCTGATCTAGACATCCTATCGTCATTTAAAGCATTATTTTGAGGATAAGGGGCAGAGAATGCTTTTTTTACGATTGACTCAAAGTAAGCTTAAAATGTAAATAAAGTAGCCGTTCACTTTCAAGGCGTAGTTAACCAAACTAAATAGTATTTAAAACTAGAGTAACAGATGAGAAAATCACAATTATAACTTTATAAGTCTTTAAACTACTGTTGGTCCATATGATTTAATTTAGCTGACCTGAATATAAGAATAAATTGTTTCAGTATTGTTAAAGTAGTAATGCAATTTTCTTGAAATTGGTAGAACGCCTGAAAAATGGAAGAAGTCATTTTGCCTACTGGTAAAGCTAAAACTCAGAACTTATTTTTACATATGCTTCTAAGCCTCTTCAAAAATTAAATAAAACCAAATCCAATCATTTGCTTCTAAGGAAGTTATCAGAAATGCACAGAAAAATTTATGCATGAGTTGATAATAACAGTAATTATAATAGCAAAGAATTAGAAACCACCTATGTAAGTTACTACCTATATGGAAATTGGTGAAATAAATTCTGGAACATTTCATCTGATGAAGTACAATATAGTTAAAATTTGCATTATTTAAAGTAAACCATACAGAAAAAAATTAATATTTTCAAAAGGCTAAAAATACTTATGTTGTGATCCCAATTTTGCAGGAAAAAAATTGTAATAATGTATATGTGCATATATTCACACACATAGTTAAAACACTGGAAGAATGTCCCAATAGTAAAATGCTGACAGTGCAGTCTCTCATTGTGAGATTACTGTTTCCCTTCCTGCACTTTGTTAAATCATTTAAACTTTCTACTTAAAAACCTATGTTTAAGTTTAGGAAATACTTTTTCATGAAAGACAGAAAAGCTATTTTGCTAGATGTGAGCACAGGTATGTTAAAATATATTATTGTCCTTGAAATTATTTTTAAATAGACTTTAATCCAATTTATCTCTACTTTTTTTCTGACCATCAAAGTTTTATTGTGGATTTTAACTATAATTCTGTTTTAAACACTTTTGACTTATTACTGATGATCATTTTGTTGTGTAATCAGTAGGAATGTTAACTGAGGGATACCAAGCTATTAATATGATAATAAGTGAAAGTCTGTTCATCTTCTTAATAGAACTTTAAGACTGGAGTATAAAACTTCCATAAAAACTTTATAATTTTATCCCAAAATAGAGAGATTGGAATCAGCGATCCTGAGGGCTTTTCAGACATTAGGATCTATTTAATTTGTTGATAATTTTTTGATATTAAACTGATAAAGTAAACATTTTAATAAAATCTAAAATATGTGCTTATGGATATTTAATTCCAGAGATTCTTTGAAAACCTTAACCCCATGGGATGTGCTTCTGAAAAAGAGTTTACAGATTATTTGTTCAACAAGTCACTAGAAATTGAACCCCGAAACTGCAAACAGCCACCTCGATTTGTAAGTCCATTACAATTTTGGAAAATTTTGTTTTTTAAAACAATATTGTATTTAATGTTCCGCAGACTATTTCCATTAAAATCATACTTTGCTTGAATACCTGTTCTGTTTTGCAGTATTACACATATTTCTAAAATTATATATCCTGTTAGCAGTTAGATAAAACCTGATTTATCCTCTCTCTCAGAACCACTTATTTACCCATCCATTTCTGATCCTTCCTAGTATAATGGGGAAAGCAATAAGAAAGTGAGAACCTAAATGACAGGTAGGTAATAGGACAGGGAATGAAGAGACTTGGGAAGGAGTAAGGAGATACATTGTGGTTCTTCTGACTTGACCATGGTTTCTGCCATAAGAGTACCGCTGTCCACAGTTACCACTGGAACCCACCTCGCTCACTAAAATTTGCTACTGTACAGTCGTTCCTTTTATTCCTGGGGTTTACAGTGACACAGAAGTAGTAGAAAACCAATTATAAGTAGCTGAAAGTGAAACAAGATGTGGAAGGAAGTAAAAAAGCATTTATAATAGACGAACCTTGGGCCAGATAGTTTCATGTTACCTCATCTCCACAACAATTGTATGATATTGAACTTAGTCTCATTTTACAGACATAAAGACTGAGGCTCAAAGGAGATAAATAACCTTTTCAAGGCTGCATAGCTAGATAAGGGCACACTTGAGGTTTTAACTTAAATTATCTGAATCTGAGTTTGTATTTTTCATTAAGTTACCACTGTGGGAATTTTTAAAAGTAGAGGGTGAAGGTGAGAAACAATGAGAGCAATTTTTCCCAAAGACTCTTAAGTATTGTTGCAGCGGTTGGTCATTTATTATTTTGTGGAGTTGAGGAAAGGATGTCTCTTTTTTCTATAGCACCTAGCATAATATGTTGTATTTATTATATCTACAGTAAATATTTATAAAATTGATATCAATAATTTGAAGAAATTTAGATTCAGGTGTCTTGGGAGCAAACAGTTGTTTTCACATGAATTTTACAGTATTTTATTTCTGAATTATGAAAAGAGGTTTACTTATACAGTATTCGAGTCTACCTTAAAATTAAGCCAATCAAATCTCAAAGTGTTCTGCTGGAATGTTACAGACTGCCCTTGCAGGTTGGGATTTATTGTACTCTTTTAACTGTATATATGCTAAACCATAATACTTTACATAATGTACTTTAAAGTACATGCAAGTTAGTAATGGTAATTACATTTGCTTTTCCTAGCCTAGGAAATCAGCTTTCTCCTTAAAATCTCCTGGAATAAGGCCTAACACAGGCCGACATGGCTCTACCTCAGGTACTTTGCGAGGTCACCCAACACCATTAGAAAGAGAACCATGTAAAATAAGCTTTAGTCGGATTGCTGAAACGGAGCTTGAATCAACAGTGTCAGCACCAACCTCTCCAAATACACCATCTACCCCACCAGTATCTGCTTCTTCAGATCTTAGTGTGTTTTTAGATGTGGATCTCAACAGTTCCTGTGGTATGTATTTGACGTAAATTGTTTGGCAAAAAAGGGAATCTTGTGTTTTAGTTAATTCTCATCATTTTAGTTAGGAAACTGTAGAATCCTTTACAGACTATATTAGTATAAAAAATGACATCTATATGTGAAAATAGCGATTAACACAGGGGAGTAAAGCATTATTTGTGCATTGCTTCTGCATATTATTTTCTAGTTTATTCATTCAACAAAGATTTATTCAGGACCTTTTGAGCCCCAGTACTACTCTAAAGGGAGCAATAGCCAATGAAGAAGAAAACAAAGCAGATAAGTTCTGTGAAGGAAATTTAAAGAGACTGATAGAGAAAGAACTATTTATGTTAAGAAAGGAAAAACATTTCAAGTACAAAGAATACCATATTCATTCTTTAAAAACTAACATGGCAAAAGATGATGATAAAATTCTTACCTCTGTGCATGTTATTATGTATGTTTTTATGCAAACATATTTTTAAAATAAAATCATACATATTACCTTCCTTTTCAAATTGATTTTTCTCCTTCTAATAGGAAGCAATAGCATCTTTGCTCCAGTCCTCTTGCCTCATTCAAGTAAGTAAGAATTTAACTTGATTCTAATGAAGTGACTATAAAAATGATAATTGCATTGATGAACTTTGTATATGAATATTTTGAATTTTAACAACATTTAAAGATTTTACAAAATGAAATTCTTACAAATGGATGGAATAATTTTTTTACACGGGTACTATTTAAACTTTACTATTGTTTATTTTCATCATTTTACTATATATGTTTTAGGGACTGCACGATGCTGAGCAAATGACTTAGCATCTCCAATTTGTTAAGGGTCAAATGAGATAACTATATAGAGCACCTAGCACATTGCTTGGCGCAGAAGGAACAGTGATTTCATATCAGTTGTCTGTCCTCTTCCCTGCTATTTCCAATTCATTTTTCTACAGGAATAATACTAAATGTTTATCAGGTTCCTAGGCTAGCCTTCATCACTTATTTCTTCTCATGAGCTTGTTTAAAGTAGCATTTTAAGTAAAATGCTATTCCGCCATCCTTAATAATATCATCAGTCCAGTTCAGTCGCTCAGTCGTGTCTGACTCTTTGCGACCCCATGAATTGCAGCACGCCAGGCATAAATACTGTCACCTGCCTTTCTGTGGTCATTTGTTTAAAACAGAATAACCCAAAGGGACACAGCAGCCTCAGGAATAATTCTCCCAATCTAGAGGACTTCTGCTTCTGTGATAGTAAAATGTAGATCATATAGATAGTAACAAGAGAGTCCCTGTCTTATGAGAAAAGTAAGTTTATTCTTCTCTCTCTTGAATCATTACTTTTAGACAGTGTTTAAAAGACATGGTAGATGAGGATTTCCCTCTTTACCTAATAAACTTCCTGCATTTGGGGAAAATATTAATCACTGCTAAGTCAAGGAGTATATACCTTGATTATGCTTCCTTTCTTGTATGCTCTGTTTCCTGAAGTTAATAATAACTTCATTAATGTTTAGGATTTTTGTTTTTTTTGTTGTTTTTTAAATGTCTATTGCTAAGTCTTCCCACACCCTTTAAAACCACAGTTTTCCTTAAAGTCAGACCATTTGGGGAAATTACCAAGAGTTTTTTGGTTTTGAGGGTTTTTGTGTATGCTTTTTAACTGGGAAACTTCCTTACTGATGATCTTTTGTCCTCCTGCTCCGTTTGGGACTGGTTGCTGTCTCGGCCTCTGACTTAGCTGAAATCCTAGAACTTTCTTCTGCTGTCATACTGGAAATTCCCTTCATCTCTCATGTATTGTATTCTTGATTTTTGGATTCCTTGTCTTCTTTCTTGATATGCTCCCTTATTTTGATAGGGGTACATTGTGTAGTAGCTACCTGAGAAAGGATACATAGGATATAAATTTTTAAGTTCTGGCATTTCTGAAAATGTATTTATTATACATTTCATTGTTAATAGTTTAGCCAGGAGAATTCCCTGGCAGTCCAGTGGTTAGGACTCCGCACTTTTGCTGCCAAGGGCCTGGGTTCATTTCCTGATCAGGGAGCTGATACTCCACAAGCCTGCATGCTCAAGCTCAGCACTCAGTCGTGTCCGACTCTTTGCGACCCCTTTGGCTCCAGCCCACCAGGCTCCTCTGCCCAGGGAATTTTCCAGGCCAGAATACTGGGGTGGGTTGCTATTTCCTTCTGCAAGCCCACATGGTGCAAACTGCCCCCCCCCAGGGCCCCCCAAAAAAGTTTGGCTGGGTAGAGAAATTTTAGTCATTTTCAGTCAGAATCTTGAAGACAGTTTCCCACCGTGTTTTAGCTTTCATACTTGCTGTTTTGAAGTCTAGTATCATTCACTCATAAATTATTCATGCATAATTTTTAAATGCCTGTTACATGCAGGTCCTATTGTAGGTACAAGAGAAATGGCACTGAACAAAATAGACAAAACTCTTTCTGTCAGTGACCCTACATTCTTAATACTTTTTTTTTGAAAACTGCAGTTTACTTGTTGGAATAACAAAGAGACCCAAAAATACAGTGCCTTAAATAAAATGGAAGTTTGTTTCTCAAAGTAGCCAGAGTAAGTAAACAAGTCTGCTCTACTAGGTTTTCAAACTAGCAGGGCAATCCAGGATTCTCAAAATGTGTCTTCCCTCTCTGAGTTTTGAGCAACTGATTTGAGTTGTTACCATATTTCTGCCAGTAGGAACTTGGTTTAAAAAACATGATCTGGGAGTTGCTCACATCACTCCTGCTCTCATCGCATTGGCCAAAACTTAGTCACATGAACACAGCTGTGAGAACTGTTCTCTCTAACTAGGCAGACCCTATTACTAAAAGGAAGAAAGGGAAAGGTGCCCTGGGGAACAGTTAGGAGTCTCTACCACATTAAATTCAAGAAGCTTTTAGGACCTTCTGTTTATTCCTAATGATCAGTACATTCACAGTGATCTACTTTGATGTGGGTCTTTTTTTTTTTTTTTTCATTTTGCTGTGTATCTAATGAGCCATTTAAATTTAGAGATTTGTGTCTTTGATTTCTAGCAAATTTTCCATCTATCATTTTGTTAATACTTTCTTCGCTTCCATGTTCTCTGGCTCCCCTTTTGGAGCTTATTTTCCATATTGTAGTACATCCTAGATTCATTGTTTAGTTTTCTTTTATCTCCTGTTGTCCATCTCTTTGTTTTTATGTACTGTTTTCTGGGAGATTGCCTTACTTTAATCACCCAGCTTTTCTATTTTTTTTCATCTATCATGATTTTTAATTTCTCAGAATTCTTTCTAAATTCCCTCTCAGCATGCTATTTTTATATTTTTCTCTTCTGGCTTAATTTTTTAATTTTTGAAAGATTTTGTTTCTGGTATGGTGTTTTTTATTTCTGAGTTTCTTTCTTCTATTAGTTGTGGTCTGTGGTCTTTCATACTGGAGGCTTTTCTTTCTTATCTTATATCCTTAGCTTTTTGTTCCTATTTTAAAGTGAGACAGTATAACTTGATGGGAAGATCCGTATCCATGGGTAAAACTTGTTGACTTGTGGGTTTCACTGTAGGGTGATAGAGTGATGAGAATTTTTTTAACTAGGAAATCCCCATATTTCAGAATCTGTGAGGCCTTTTCTCTAAGAGTATTTAGTTTCTCCAAAGAAAGATCTTTGAATCTTGTCCCTGGGTGACCTTTGCATTTAGTATGAAAATCTGTTTTCAGCACAGACTAGTGTCCCCAATTCTGATGTTTAGATTCTCCAGCGAATAAAACCCTCAGTCTCCTGCCAGTGGTGGAAATGTGGTAATGTCCTGGCCTCATTAAGTGCAGAATAGGGTTTTAGGGTCCTCGTGTCCCTTCTGTAGACTTAAGCAAGTCCTCTGCCCCGTGCTCTCCATTATACCGAGTGCCTTTGATTCCCGACCCTGCCTGTGCCTGTGGGGGCAGTTTTGTTGCTCTTTGTCAGTCTTGTTCAGCACAGACAGTTGGGTTTCATCTTCCTCCACTTGTCTCCTTCATATACACTGTAGTCCACCTTTATGGGTTGAAGCTTCAGGATTCAGATGTTTCCTGGCTTCATTGAAGTTTGTATATGTTTCTTATTTTCCTTATTGTTCAGCAGTGGAAATGTTTTTACTATATATATTAGTTTCTAGTGCTTCAGCAACAGAGTACCACAAACTGAGTGACTTCAAGTCTACTTCTGAGGCTGAGAGTCTGAAAAATCAAGATGGCAGGGCTATGCTCCCTCTAAAACCTGTAAGGAAGGATCTTTCCTTGGATTTTCTGGCTTCTGCCTTTGCTGGTAATCCCTGGCATCCTTTGGTTTGTAGATAGATCACTTTAACCTCTGCCTCTGTGGTCACATGGCCAGCTTATCCTTGTATCTTGTTTTCTCTTCAACTGTGTTTATAAAGATACCAGTCACACAGAGTTAGGACTTCCTAGGTGGCACAGTGGTAAAGAATTTGCCTGCCAACACAAGAGACGCAGGAGATGTGTGTTTGATTCCTGGGTTGGGAAGATCCCTTGGAGGAGGAAATGGCAACCCACTCCAGTATTCTTGCCTGTGAAGCCCCATGGACAGAGCAGCCTGGAGGCCCACTCTTTATGACCCACTGTTCATGGGTCACAAAGAGTTGGATACGACTGAGCACACAGCACACAGACAGAAATAGGGTCACTTTCATCCTAACTTGATTACAGGGCTGTAAAGTCTATATTTCCCAATAGAGCCATATTTATTGGTACTGAGGCTAGGACTTCAACATAACTTTTATGGAGGGAAGGGACACAGTTCGATTTATAACACTGTCATTTTAGAACAAGGAGTTTTAGACATTATTTTGGGTGATAGTAACATATACTTTCCGTATCATAAATAAAATCATGTTTTGAATTTTAATAGAAAACATTGAGAATAACCGCATAAAATTCTGAGTGTCTTAAGGTCCTGAAAGAAATAAAAGTATAAAAAGTGCTCACATACAGTGAGAAAAACAGCAAGAAACAATGGACATGAATAGACAGTTTACATCAAAGAATGAGCAAGCCTATCTTAAAAGGTACTCATGTATCACTTACCCTTGTGAGTTGATCTATTAGTATGATCCTTTTGGAGAGAAATTTGAAAACAACGTATCAAACCAAAAAAATGTTCACACTGTTTGGTCTTATTCATTCAATAGAAAATTGAGTACTTTGGACCATCTACTCTGCCAACTACTAAGGATTCAGTAGCAAACAAGAAAAAGTCTCTGCCTTCGTTAATACTGAATACCAAAAAATTTTTGTGAAGAAGGCACATACATGAAGATCACATTGCTCATCCCACTCACTCTCTTGGTTTTTCTACTTTACTTTTAGCTCCTTAGTCTCTCTTGCTGGTTTCTCTGCATTTTCCCTAACCTGTTAAAATTGGAAAGTCCTAAGTCTCTGAATCTCTTTTCTTCTCACTCACTTGGTGTCTCATTCAGTGTTATATCATCTGTAAGATCATAAGTCGCCGGTTTTTTCCTCTGCCTAGAGCTTCTCTCTTGACTTTTAGCCTCGTATAATCAGCGTCCTGTTGGAGGTCTCTATTTGATGTCATCCCCTCTAAAGTCGTTCTCCCATTGCCACCTCTTCTCAGTTATAATCACATTTGTCTCATTGCTGAGGCTGAAAGTATTAAGAGCTATGATTTACCTGTTTCTTTTTTTTTCTTATTTATTTTTATTAGTTGGAGGCTAATTACTTTACAGTATTGTAGTGGTTTTTGCCATACATTGACATGAATCAGCCATGGATTTACATGTGTTCCCCATCCTGACCCCCCCTCCCACATCCCTCCCCATCCCATCCCTCTGGGTCTTCCCAGTGCACCAGCCCTGAGCACTTGTCTCATGCATCCAACCTGGGCTGGCAATCTGTTTCATGCCGGGGTCCAGACTCGGCAGGATCCAGGGGGTACCCTCAGGATGAACGGCGTCGGCGAGAGAGAAGAAGACACGTGAGACCAGCCTTGATAGGGCCAAGTCTGTGTTTTACTTTTTGACAACTGGTTTTATACCCTTTCACAGAACGTTTTCAAGGTACAAGATGCTTACTCATGATTACACAGGATTAGCATTACATCATTTTGATTTTTAGGAAAAGCAGGATTTTTTTGCTTTCTAATTCTATAGTAATTCTTAGCACATGATCTTCTGGCCTTGGGGCTATTAATATTTCATGCAGGTCAGGTGATTGTAAACCTATTTTCCGTTTTTATGGTGACCTTAACTGAAAGGTAACAGGGTCATAGGGAAATAGTACAGAGTAGAATTATATTCTTGTTAATACGAAAATTAATTTTTCTGCAAAAGTTGTCAGTTGCATTTATCTAAGAAGTTTACCCCATACAGACTCTGCGGCTTCAGTGAGGCAGCCTGCCTAGCACTCCTGACTGACAATTAACAACCATCTCATTGTTACCACACTAGGGCTAAGTCCTTATTTCTCTAGATCTTAAACTATATTAACAATGGTTTCTATAACACTACCTTAGCACATTAAAAGCAAAACACAGCAAGCAAAACACAGCAGGCAAATCACAACCCAATAACCACCTATAGGATAATTTTTCTTATGTTTTCTAATAGGACTCCTTTACCCCTTAAAAGGGCTCTATATCTATTAGGGCTTTTATATAATCATGTTCTTTATGCTATTTTATGATTAGGATATTATAAGCAATCATGCATATTAGTACCAAGCGCATAAATGCATTTGGCTAACAAACTACCAGCAAAGGAGTTTAAATTAAAACACTCCTTTCACCCTGGATAATCTCATAAAATACCACCACCTGGGAAACTTACTGATTAAAGTTCTAAATTGATTCTTATTTGGGAAGAGATTGGGGAAGGCCTTCCTGCCTGTGTCAGAGAAATTAGGGAGTAGTCCATTGAGGCAGGCATCAGAAAGACAGATATCATCTTTAAGGTGAGAGCCGGGGGCAGCTTTTCGAAATCCCTGAAAACCTGATCTGCCTTGCCTGTCAGGCTTTCTCCTCGTGACCTTGTCATGAGTGGGATCTCGTGAGCTGGCCTTTTCGAAAACCCCTGAAAACCTGATCCGCCTTGCCTGTCAGGTTTTCTCCCCTATGGCCTTTTTAGGGGTAGGGTCTCGTGTGTTGGCTCCCGGCAGTTTCACACTTGGTAATATACATGTTTCAATGCTATTCTCTCGGATCATCCCACCCTCACCTTCTCCCACAGATTCCAAAAGTCTGTTCCATACATCTGTGTCTCTTTTTCTGTCTTGCATATAGGGTTATCGTTACCAATCTTTCTAAATTCCATATATATGCGTTAGTATACTGTATTGGTGTTTTTCTTTCTGGCTTACTTCACTTTGTATAATGGGCTCGTTTCATCCACCTCATTAGAACTGATTCAAATGAATTCTTTTTAATGGCTGAGTAATATTCCATGGTGTATATGTACCACAGCTTCCTCATCCATTCGTCTGCTGATGGGCATCTAGGTTGCTTCCATGTCCTGGCTATTACAGACAGTGCTGCGATGAACACTGGGGTACACATGTCTCTTTCAGATCTGGTTTCCTCGGTGTGTTACCTGTTTCTTTTTCTCATACCCCAAGTGTATGAGAAAATTTGTTGATCCATCAACAAATTTTATTTACTCTCAAAATAAATCCAGGATCTAACCATTCCTTGACTTCTTTACTACTGCTACCCTGGTTCAAGTGACCACAATCACTTACCTGGTTTATTATAGTAGCATCCTTACTTCCCACCTTCCGTACTTCAGTTTTCAATTCAGCAGATGGGTCCTTTTAGAATGTAGGTTAGACTTGACTCACCACTACTTAAAGCCCCTGGCCTTCCATCTTAGAGTCAAAGACACCGTTTCAGTTTCTTCAGAAAGGACCCATAAGGTCCTGTGAAATTTGACCTCTGGCCAGTCAGACTTCATCACCTGCTGTTCTCTCCTGTCACCTGCTCTGCATCCTGGACACACTCCCACAGCAGGACTTCTGTTCTTCCGACTCCCTCTGCTTAGGGTGCCGTTCACCCGTCTGGCCTAATGGCATGCTCCCTTGCCTCCTTCAGCCTTTCTTCTCAGTGTTTCCTGAGGGAGGTCTTCCCTGATCACCCTGTTTGAACTTGCTCCCCATTCCCTATCTAATATTTCTCCTTTTAACTTACAGCTGTTATACTTTTACTTAATCATCATGTTTATTCTTTCTTACCAACCTAGAATGTAAGCTTCATAAGGACATGAATTTTTGCTTCTTGTTTACGGCTTTATTGCTAGTGCCTAGAAGAGTGCTGGCACTATAGCAGATACCCAATAAATATTTGTTGCATGGATGGATGTGTGAATGATAAAAATTAGAAGTAACTTACATAGCTAACTAACATTACAGAAATTGTTTAGTAAATTATCCTACATTCACTAGTATAGAATAATGAAGTTATTTTAAAACCTGAAGTTATTCACAAAACCTGAATAATCTGTGGGGAAGTGCTCTTAATGGAAAATAAAATTGAAGTTGAGACTTCAGCACGGGTTACTAAGTGCCTCCTGTCATAGTGGTTAAGTGGTCTGACTGTAGAGTCAGACTCAGTTTCAAAAACTTAAAACAAATGTCTCATCATCATTAAGATATTTTTTTGCTTCCATAAGCATGTGTGTTTCTGTAAGGAAGAGAAGACTCAACTAAGTCTGCCTTAAACAATAAGAAAGCATTCTGACTCATTAGCTGAAAATCTGGAGGACAGCTGCTTTAAGGCTGGTTGATTCAGTGGTTCAGTGATATTATCAAAGACCAGGTTTCTTTTTAACTGTTCGTTGTTTTGTCCAGATTATCAGCTTTATCTGAGGCTGTTTTCCCTCAAAGTCGAAAGAGGGGTGGCAGGAGCAATAAAAAGGTTATGTGTGTCCTTGCTCAGTCAAGTGAGAAAGAGGCACAAAGAAAGACTGACAGACTGCTTTTCCAAAAGAACAAGAAACTTCCTTTTCAGTAGCCTCTCGCATAACTCCTTTCAGATTTCAGTAGTCTGAATTGGGTCCTGTGCCAACAGCTAAACCAGTTACTCTAGCTGAGGGGATGGTCTAAGCAGGCCCCATTTTTGGAGCTAAGGGGTGAGGTCAGATTTCACTGAAGCACTTGGCTGCATGCATAAAAATGAGGTAGCTACAAATCTGATCTTGTCAAGAAAATGAGTCCTTTGTCCACTTCTTGACTGGAATTGGGGTGCCCTGGGCAGAATTGGCTGACTAAACCGTATGGAATGGATTCACCATCACCTAGAGACAAAGACAGGGCAGAGTGTGCTGGGCAAGCAAAAGGAATGTATTGATAGTGGGTAGTGCTCTCTCTGACCTCCTCGCACCATCTGCCAACACCACATAGGGATATTGTTTGTTTCTGCTGTTGGCACTCTGAGCCAGCAGGACCCCCTGGGGTGACTGCAGAGCGACCGATCAGGTCAGCAATTTTTGACATGGAGTAATGAGTGACATCTTTACTTGGATGTCCCATAAGCAGTTCACACAAACTCAGTGTGTTTAAAATTAAACTCATCAGCTTCTTTCCCAACAAGCTCCTATAAACCCAATCTCAGTGTAATGTTAGATTTGATCAGTGCCTTTATAAAGTCCATAATTACAGGTATTATAACCATATGAAATAGATAAAAGAAATGAACATGAAAATCATTTGTGTCTGGTTGGCATGTTTAGGGATAATTTTTCCTATAATACTTTATTATTTTGTAAATTTCCATTGATGTGGTTATGTAATATGTCCATTATCAATAAGAAATTTGTACTGAGAACAGGTCTGTGATACAACTGTACCCTATTGTCTCCTAAATGGAGGTTTTATTACCTTTGTAGAAATGTATCTGATAGTAACTTTTTCAAAAATGCATGGTCTGTGTTTATGGATGATCTTTCTTTGGAAATTAGTACAGTTATATAAACAAAAGACTTTTCAGGGAGCAGAATCTCCTTATTAATCTTAATTGGATACTGTATTTTCATTTAGCAGTAGTACCTAGCATGTGGCAGGTACTAACAGTATCCATGCTATGGATATGAAAATACACACTGCCCTCAAAAAGCTTACACCTTAATGGAGAGGATAGCTAAACCAATAGTCAGCTACAGTACAGTCTGATGGATGCCATAGGAGAGGTGATCACAGATTGAAATAAAGTTTTATCTTATGATTGCATTGTGAGTTGTGGTTAAACTATTCTTTTTACCCCCAGAGTCTTTCTTCAGTTCGTGTGGTAGTTTACATAAGCTAAGTGAAGAGCCACTGATTCCTCCGCCACTTCCACCTCGAAAAAAATTTGATCAGGATGCTTCAAATTCCAAGGTAGGAATTTCCCCAATGGTCCAGTGGTTAGGATGCTGTTTTTCCATTACAGGAGGCACAAGTTTGATCCTCTGTCAGGGAACTATAGATCCCACATGCTGTGTCTTGCGGCCAACAAGAGCAACAACAAAAGTCCAAGGTAGTCAACAGGACTTGGGTTTGTCTCAACTTATTCAAAGTTGTGAATCTTTAAAACTGTGCTTATTCTTAAAGAGAGTCTGTCAACTATAATTTGGTTACCCTTTATGTTTTTTAAATACTTAGGTTGTTTTATTTAGAATATACCTTAAATAACTGTTTAATCCTCATAATACTTTTTCTAAAAAAAAAAGAGTCTGGGCAGATCCATAGATACTCAGAAGTATGTTTTCTTTCGGGTAGAGATGGGAAGAACTGTAGTCAAAGCATTCTCCAAACTTTCAGCTGGTGCTTCTCAAACTTCAGGCTGCATCAGAAACATCTGAAAGGTTTGTTAAAATCAGATGGCCAGAATTTCTGACTCAGTTGGTCTGGGGCAGGGCCCAAGAATTTTCATTTATAACAAGTCCCTACTAAGGCTTCCCTGGTGGCTCAGACGGTAGAGAATCTGCCTGCACTGCAGGAGACCAGGTTTCAATCCCTGGGTTGGGCCGATCCCTGGAGGAGGGAATGGCTACCCACTCCAGTATCCTTGCCTGGAGAATTCCATGGAATGGGGAGCCTGGCGGGCTACACCCCATGGGGTCACAAAGAGTCGGACACGACTGAGCGACTAACACTTTCATTTTCAGTAGTGCTGATGCTGCTGATCCTGGGTCACACTTTGGAGAACCACCACTCTGAACCTCACTGGGGATAGTAGAAGTAAATGGCCAAAAAGCAGAAGCTGGATATTAAGTCCTCTTGACATCATGTTCTTTCATGCCTTGTTCATTCACTAAGTCATGTCCGCCTCTTTGAGACCCCATGGACTGCATCACACCAGGCTTCCCTGTCCTTCATTATCTTCCGGAGTTTGCTCAAACTCATGTCCATTTAGTCGGTGATGCCATCCAACCATTTCATCCTCTGCTGCCCCTTTTTCTTGCTCTCATTCTTTCCTAGCATCATGGTCTTTTCTAGTGAGTTGGCTCTTCTCATCCATCAGGTGGCCAAAGTATTGGAGCTTCAACTTCAGCATTCATGTCTACAAAACTATAAATTCTTTTCACTTAACTTGCCCATTATTATAATTAAAATGCATAAATTTATAAACTATCTACAAAGCAAGATAATCTGAGGCTTTATAAGATTTCAGTTAAAACATCTCATATATAAAAATATTAAACTGAGCCCTGAGTGAAACTGAATTTATTCATAAATCTGATCATTAAACCAGATTAACCTATTTTGTGTCTCTGGATTTAACTTAACACATAAGAATTTTTTAGTCTTTTAAAAACTTTTTCTTATAGATGTTTCAAGAGAACAGAGGTATAATTTAATTTTTTTGTTTTTGAGGGAACTATGAAATCTGATGATGACCCCCCTGCTATTCCACCAAGACAACCTCCTCCTCCAAAGGTAAAACCCAGAGTTCCTGCTCCTACCGGTCCATTTGACGGGCCTCTGCATAGTCCACCTCCACCGCCGCCGAGAGATCCTCTTCCTGATACCCCTCCACCAGTTCCACTTCGGCCTCCAGAACACTTTATAAACTGTCCGTTTACTCTTCAGCCACCTCCACTGGGACATCTTCACAGAGATCCCGACTGGTTCAGAGACGTTAGTACGTGTCCAAATTCTCCGAACACTCCTCCTAGCACACCCTCTCCAAGGGTACCTCGTCGATGCTATGTGCTCAGTTCCAGTCAAAATAATCTTGCTCATCCTCAAGCTCCCCCTGTTCCACCAAGGCAGAATTCAAGCCCTCATCTACCAAAACTGCCACCAAAGACTTACAAACGGGAGCTTTCACACCCCCCAATGTACAGACTGCCTTTGTTAGAAAATGCAGAAACTCCTCAATGACCCTAGCCATATGTAGTCATTGACACTGGAATGGTATTTGTAAAGTTTCTTTTTTTTTAATTTATTCAAAAAAGGCATAGTATTTTAGTACTTTTTAAAAATAATGCTCTTACAAAAATGCTACTGATCAAATAAGCTTTTCAGAATTGGAAAAATAAAAATACAGAAGTCATTTACCATTATCCTCAGGTGATCAGTAGCATTGCCTTGTCTTGGATCCTCAGTGCTGCCAAAAGGCCAGTATAAGGAATTTATATTTGCACTGTAGACTCTGCTAAAATATGGTTTAAAGTAAAATTGATTGCACTGAAAGGGGATAGTGCATTTGTGGAATTTTTCAAATTTGACTAACAGATGACTATTTAAGGCAGTGAATTTACACACATGTAGGGGGTGTGTGGTGATACTGATTTTTAAGCCTCTTTGACTGTCTTTTAGTTTTTACATCTAGTTTTTACCGAAAATTGTGAATAACACCCACTATTCTTAAATTCTTCAATGCCATGTCTTAAATGCCAGAATTTGCTGCTGAAGACAAAAGTGAAAAATAGAATGAAAATAATAGAATGCACTGTGTTTATTATTTTATCAAAATGTAAAGACTACCTAACTCAGTCATAGAGGGGAAAAGGGCATATATCTTGTACAGATGTGCCTTTTTGTTTTTGCAGGCTATGGTGTCTTTAGCTAACGAGTTGCCTATTGTTTTGGAAAACAAAGTTAATATGCCATATATGTACAGTTTTGTTTATACTGTATATTTTAAAATAATGCTAATAACCTATATAAATTTATGTGACTCAAGGCCTATAATACAATCTGCTACTTTACTAATTCATAAATCCGGAGGATAATTTTCTTATGGCATAGGAACCAACTGCATTGCCTTCAAAACCAAGTAACTTTCTCTATAAATCTCATATTAACTAAAATTTTTTAAAGTATTTTTTTAGATTGGTAATATTTAAACCAGCAGTTAAAAGCTTTATTAAACTTTTTAATCAGAGAAGTGATTAAAACTTTTATTTGCCATTTGTACTCCTGTGTTCAAAGTGATGAGAAAGCGTGTTTTGCTCTTAGTGCTAGCAGCAGTTGTAAAGTAGCCAAAAGCCACATTGTTTATTTACTGGTCTGTGGCCTTTTACTGTGCTTTGTATCAGAGTTCCTAACAAGATTAATAAATCACCCCAGTCTTAATTTTTAAAAGACTTTTAAAATGTGTTTTCATTATAAGGAACAAGGGGGTAAGACCGTCGAGTTCTGTACAAGTAATACATATACACACATTATTTTCAGTTATTTTGTACAATTTAAATTCCATAATCCCAAAGAATTTAAGTGATGTAAACTTTAGAAGGAAGAGGGGGAACTATCTTCACCGTTAAACGCAATCACAAGCTTCCTGCAACCGTTTTCTGCATTTAGATGAAAATTTAGGAGCCTTTTAGGAACTCGAGATAAGCAGACTACCAAAATACTTGGTAGTATCTTGGAAGCTGCCTTGATTTAAAGCCAGTAATTAAAAAAAAAAAAAAACTGTGTGTGACTCAGTCTCCAGCCAGGTAAAAACGCTCAGGTTGAAGTCGTCTGGAAAAGTGATTTAAACTGCCCGTTTGTTAAGCCACGCTTGTAACTTAGGGGAGAAGAATGAGACGGTTTGGCGCCTAGGGGCGCCTTGGCCCACCGCTGGCCACGCTGGAAGAGTGCTGCCGTCCAGGCTTTGCGCCTTCGCGCACGCGCCGCAGCCCCAACGCCGCCGCAGGGACGCGCCGGGGCCCTGGCAGGGCGGGGCCCGGAATAGTGCGCGTGAATGTGACGTCGCTGCGTGCGGCGCCTCTTGTTGCCGGGCAGCGATGGCGGCTTCTCGGGAGTCCTCTGGGGAGGATCCACTGCGGAACTTTGTGCGAGTTTTGGAGAAGCGAGATGGCACAGTGTTACGACTGCAGCAGTATGGCTCCGGCGGCGTGGGTTGCGTTGTTTGGGACGCTGCCATTGTCCTTTCTAAATACCTGGAAACGCCCGGATTTTCCGGCGATGGGGCCCACGCGCTGAGCCGGCGGTCGGTGCTAGAGCTGGGCTCGGGCACCGGGGCTGTGGGGCTCATGGCCGCTACCCTCGGGTAAGACCTGGCGGGAGGGGACGCCTCTTTGTTCAGGAAATCAGTTCCCGGCTTCCCACTCTTGTGCCTACACCTCAATCAACGTTATTTTATAGGGCAGATGTCATAGTCACCGATCTTGAGGAATTGCAAGACCTGCTGAAGATGAATATTAATATGAACAAGCATCTTGTCACTGGTTCTGTTCAAGCCAAGGTACTGAAATGGTTTGTATGGCCTTTCAGCTTGTTTTAAGATAACAATTTGTAGTTTGCTTTAAATTGCGTTTCACTGAAAGCATGTTTAATATGAATGGAGACTTCTGGGTCTTTTTATAAAACAAGACTTTTAAATTAGTAAAGCAACAGTTTAAAATATGTGGTTGACATTTTTAAGGGGGGAAGAATTAGAAGACTTTCCTTCTTCGCCAGACTATATACTGATGGCTGACTGCATATACTACGAAGAGGTGAGTATTTGATGAGTGGAGTCTCTTCGTTTAGAAAACTTAAACTGTATTTCGAGGATTCAGGAGCACGCATTATTTAGCATTTTAACATCTCTGAATGCAGGATATTTGTTCCATAGTTGATGAACAAAGAGAAAATAAAGGCCACCAGGAAACACGTATATGTACTCATGATTAACATAGAGGTCCCTGAAGCTTATTGAGAAAAGTGTTACGTGCATTTTAGGAGAGGCTTCCGTAAAATTTTTGAAGGATTTTTTTCTTTTGGATTGCCTGTAAAAGACTTAAGATTTCTTTTTTTTTTTTTTTAAGTTAGCTGTAAGTTGCATCCTAAAGGATTAATTGTTTTGGGACAAGATTTATTATATTTATAGAATTTTTTTTCTTTTGGAATATCAGTGTGTATAGTGTTGTAAGCATCAATCATTTTTTTTACAATAATGAACATTGAACCAACTTATGTTCAAGTTAAAGTTGGACCTACTTTTGTAAGTAAATTGTTGATTGTTTAAATCCTGTTAAGATTAAGCTTCAAGAATGCTGTCAATTCCATTTTTACCCATGGGTACTCCAAAATGCAATCGCTTGAATCCGTTCTCTGGAAGCTGAAATTAATACAATGGTTGATTGGTTAGGAGTTTACCAATCATTAGTTACAGAGCTGTAACTTTGTTTAGTGGATTGGATTGATTCAAAGATGTGTGAATTGTAAGGGAGTTATAATTATATCTCCTCTGCCTCCCCTACCCCGTTTATAGTAAACATATGTGTTTTTAAAAGTCATTAACAAAAATCATATTCTTTTTCTAACAGTCTTTGGAGCCATTGTTGAAAACCCTAAAAGATCTCAGTGGGTCTGAGACTTGTATTATATGTTGTTATGAACAGCGAACAATGGGAAAAAATCCAGAAATCGAGAAAAAATATTTTGAGGTGAGTACTCTATTAGATCTACCTTTGTAGGGATTACCTTTCAGAGAGGCTATGTGTGACTTTGTGTTCCAGTATAGTGTGCTAACTTTGAGTAGGGAAAACATTCTGCTTGTATGAACCCAAAGAGAGAATTCTTTACAGTACACCATTCTAACAACTGCTGCCAGCCTCCCCCGCCCAGTACCCCCATTCTGATCCTTTATTTTTCTTTTCTGACTTGTTGATCTAGTATTTGTAAAGCCATGTAAAGTAATAATGTGACACCCTTGTCTTTCCTGAGAAAGTTTTCAGTGTTTATCAGTCAAGTTGCTGGCTTTTAGGAACATAATGATGTATATATTTTTTGGAGAATACATGATAGAAACATGATATGTGATATGTTTCCATTCCAGTATTTTCCACTGTGTTTTTATGGTAGCTTTGGCCAGTGTATTCTACCTATTTTGAAGTTGTTCTTTTCTTTTTCTTCTTTTGCAAGAATTAATGACCCATAGGAAGCTGCAGAAGTAGTACTTAGAATCCCGTTTGTCTTTTATGCATCTTCCTCCAGTGGTCACCCAAATGCTTCTTATGGGTAAAGATCCATCATGTTACAAGTGGTTCCTCTTAAGGAAACATCTTTATGGCTCTTCAGTTTTATCTTCTGAAAGGGTTACTTTGGGTTAAGTGACTCTTCATGACTCTGCCTCAGATATAAGGTGAAGTCAGTTTTTACTTTCATGTTTTTCTTGACTGTGAAGAACTTTAATGAACTTTTGAAATAATGTATACTTGAAAATTTGATATCATTAATCAGTTTTCAGTTGAGTTAAAACATATACAAAAAAACATATCAAAGGCATATATATGAAGTGCTTAGCTCAACTTTTCATATACCCCTTAAGTCAGTATTCCAAAGGTAACCACTATTCTGATTTCTGTCAGCAACAGATAGTTCATATTATTGAATTTGAATTGCATCTTTTTAAAATTTATAGCTCCTTCAACTAGACTTTGACTTTGAAAAAATTCCTTTGGAAAAACATGATGAAGAATATCGAAGTGAAGATATTCACATTTTATACATCAGAAAGAAAAAATCGGTAAACACATGTTTGTCTTATATATCCTCTGAAGTGATTTCACGAGCTGGACACTGTCTCTGAGCTTGAGTATGACGTAGATATTAATTTTCATGTGGGGAATTGTTTATAATGATTAACAGGACTCGGATGCTAATGCTCAGTGTTAAGATTACCTAACTTGCCAGGCCTCAGGTGTTTTCTCTAAAATAAGGCAGACTTTTTTGTAAAGGTTATTTCTAATTATATAGCTTTATAATTGGGCACTACCTCAGACAAGTAACTTAGCTATTTATAAATTTCTGTTATCTCTTAGAGGTTTTTAAATGCCAGTTCTGACCTTTGTGAACTCTCTCCAACCATTCAAGTTTTGTTTTTTTTTAATTAGTCCAACTATAACATAGTTACATGTTTTTATTTATTGGTCTGTCCAATAAAGAAAAATGCATTCAATTAAATAGAAGTAAAAAAAATTTTTTTTTTAAATAGAATTTTTATGTTCCCCTTTTAGATTGCTCCCTTTACCCATTATAATAAGTACATTTTATACGGTGCCTGGTATTTTAATGTGTAGAAGGGAAGGATTGTGTCCCATCCACCTTTGTACCCCAGCACCTTGTGTGTATGTGACTGGTATAAGGCAAGAACGAGATCACTTTTATGAATTGTGGGTGCTAAACTTGATTTAGTTCCATTTGTTTCTGTTATCCTTCCTTTGGATTTGTGGTGAAGTTTTTTGATTTATGTGCATTCTAGCCAAAAGCAGATAATGTGCATTTTTTGGAATCGGGACTAGGTGTTGGAACTACAAAGAAAGAAGAGCAGTGGGATTAGTAATTCAGATCAACTATTATGTGGCATGGTTCTAGAGATAAAACAATGAATTAAAAATGTTTTATGCCTTAAAGGATCCAGTTTTAGCCAAAGCTGTTGTATAGTTTTAAAAGTAGGTTTTTTGGGGGGTTTTTTTTTGAGGCTTAAAAATTTTGTGTTTCCTAAATATAGAGGCTTTTGGCGGTGGCGGGGGAGGGGGGCAGGGAGTCATTTGTTTTTTTAACTTGATATAATTTATATACTATAAAGTTTACACTTAAGCCATTTTTAGCATATTTACCTAATTGGACAACCATCACCACGTTTTAATTTTAAACATTTTCATAACCCCATACCTTTTAGCAGTTACACCTTATTCCTGCCTTCCCCAGCTCCTAGCAACCACCAGTCTGTATCTCTGTGGATTTGCCTATTGAACATTCCATACAGATGGAATCACACATGATGTATGCTTCTTATATCTGGCTTCTTTCATTCAGCAGTGTTTTCAGGGGTGCATCCATGTCCTAGCATGCATCAGCACTTCACTTCTTTTTACGCTTGAATAGTAGTCCTTTGTATGATATGCCACACCTCATCCACGCATTCATCAGTTGATGAGCATTTCCCTTGTTTCCACTTCAGGCGCTAGTGAATAATCCGGTTGTGAATATTCATGTGAAACTATTGTGTGGCATGTTTCCTGATCTCTTGAGTGTGTGTATATCCGTAGTGGAATTGCTAGGGCACACAGGAACTCCATGTTTAGCTTTTTGAAGACTTGCCAAACTATTCCAAAGCTGCTATGCCATTTTCCTTTCTCACCAGCACTGTCTGCATTTTCTAGTTTCTCCATATCCTCCCTAACATTTATTGTTGTTAATCTTTTTTATTGTAGTCATCTCAGTAGGTATGAAGTGGTAATCGCATTGTGGTTTTTATTTCCCTAATGAAAATGATGTTGAGTATCTTTTTTTGTGCACTTATTGGCCTTTTTACATGTTTGTAGAAATCCTTTGCCTATTTTAAAATTGAGTTGTCTTCACCGTTGAGTTGTAAACATTTTTTATATATCCTAGATACCAGACTCATACCAGATTTATGACTTCCAAATTCTGTGGGTTGTCCTTTTCTTTTCTTGATAGTATGTCCTTTGAAACACAGAGGTTTTTAATTTTGATGCTGTCTAGTATATCTGTTCTTTCTTAGGTTGCTTGTACTTTAGGCATTAACAAAGACCACCTCCAAGCATTATACATAGCTATTCATTTGAATTGCATTTGACTGTCAGTAGGCATAAAACCTAGTATTAAATACCCAATAAATATTTAATATATAATAAGAAATCAGTCTTTTAAGTTTTCCATTTTTTTTCTTATAGAAATTTCCATCATGAAATCTTTAGTCATCTTACCCAGGCCTCTAACAACGTGGGTAAGCTAATAACGTGAATGAAGCATGTGAATACAGCATGGGAAGATTGTGTTCACAGATTTTTTCAGCATGTCTTTAGGGATCCGATCTATAGATAACCACCACTGGCTGCCTGCAATATGAAAAATGACTTGACTGACTGCCTACCTACCAATGGGCCTGAAATCCAACTTAGTTTACTTTTAGCTCCACATCAAGTTCTGCTTAAAAGAAACATTGTGTCACTCACTCCTCCAATAAAAATAGGTACTGAGGTTAGCCTAAAGTCTGCCAAAAATAATGAAGTAGCATGGTTGGCTTGGCGTGTTTTCAGGAAAATAGAGGTAAGTTGATCCAGTTTCTAAAGAGAGGTATCAGTTACTCTTTAATAATGTTTAAATTCAAATCAGTAAATTTTAATTTGTCATCAAGATAAATTTAAGAGAGGGTTTTAACATTTATACAATGGATTTTATTATAAGTATCTTCCACTTCATTGTTTTTCAGACAACTTTAATATTTGTGTTCTTTTACTTGAGAAAAAAAAACAACAAAAAACAAAAAGACTGTTTTGTGACCAAAGTTCTGTGCTTTTCCTTCACCTTGCTGATTACAGTATAATTTACCCTGCGAATTACATAATAAATTATACTGTGGTCGGTTAATAAAGATGAAAGTAAGAAGTCAGAGTGCAAGGGGTATCTGTAAAATTTTTTATTTGAGAATGGAGTGAGAATAAAAGGCCCAGCTTTAGGCTCGTGCACTTTTCCTCATGCGTAGCTCCCAGGAAAATGTGGCTAAATCACTGGTGATAACTTGTTTATATGAAACAGAAAGCTATTTAAATAACTACAAGTGTAGTTCTGTGTACATTTACCAAATGATTCTTTTTCTGTGTGGTCTCTGTTTTATGTTATGATAATCATCTGTTCTCAGACTGATCTGTCAGGACTTCCCAGTCTCACTGGTTCCAAAGCATAATAGTAACCAGATGGAATGCTGGTACTTAACAGGCATTGGTGCTAGGTGGCACATTTTATGTGTTAAAATAAACATTGTTTTTGAGATCCTGTGACTTTGTGAATGTTTCAGAAATAGCTTTGGAGAAAATAAACATTTAAAGCAGGTGACTGCTTTCCAGAAAGAGCAAAAGCAGCCCTGGAGAAATTAAAGATTAACATCAAAAGAAAATTTTTTTCCTTCAGGTTTTCTTCAGTCTTTAACTTTTGTTCTGCTGTTTGTTTTTTTCCCCAAACTGCTCTTAGCATTTCATTAATCAGCTTACTAAGCAGTTAGTGTAACCTAAGTGTATGATACTTTTCTAGTTACAGATAATATAAGGTATTTTATTAGTGAAGTCTTAGGACAAATGATCACTTTCTGGCTTATTTTATAACATTATAAAACTTGTAGGAATGAGTTTATTAACATTGACCAGCCATAGTAGTCCTCTCCAGTTCCTCAGGTCCCTTTCACCCTCCTCCCCTTAAGACTGTACTTCTAAAATACAGTAGCTGTGGGTGTTCAGCTGAAGTCCTCCTTGACATTCCTGTAATGAAAGCCCAGCTCCTTGACTTCCGACAGGAGGCCTTGCACCAAAACTTCCTGGAGCGATTGAGATGAGACCAGCCTCTTGGCAGCTTTGCCAGAATCACCCTGTTGCTTGTGTGTGCTTCTTCTTTCATGTCCTGTTTCCACTCCCTTTCTTTCTTATCACCTTAATAAGTCAAGGAAATGGCAACCCACTCCAGTATTCCTGCCTGGAAAATCCCATGGACAGAGGAGCTTGGCAGGCTACAGTCCATTGGGTAGAAAGAGTTGGACACGACTTAAGAGACTAAACCACTATCATACATTCATTACCATCTGGTTCGGGGGAGCTGATCCAAGGTACTGACTACAGGATCGAGTACTTTTAAACAGAAAGTGAAGTGAGATTGTTTTTCTTATTCTGGAATAAGGCCAAAGCAGAGTTTAAAAGGTACCAATCCCCATGTTCTAAGATCAGAGAACCATAGTGATTAGTAAGCACTGCCGGGCTTCCTGAGGGTTGCCAGATCAGGTAGCAAGCTCTGTCACTAACTACCATCCACACACAGCTGGGGAGGTCTGGGAGAGGCCTTCTTTTGGAGGAAGTGCAATGTTGAGGAAAGGAATTTAGTCCTTTGAGCTCTCACGAGAGAGGGAACAGAGCGTATCTGTACTCAGAAGCCACAGGGGGGAGCCCTGGGGAGGAATTCAAGATCCAGGAAGCCTCCAAGAAGGGTAGACTAGCATTGTCCCACCTGGTTGGATTTGTCTTTATCCTGCAGATGAATACATCTGTTTAATTCCAGAGCATGGGAATTTTGGAGAGGTGGTGTGGAGACTGTCAGTCAGAGAGGTGTTAAAGATGGATCTCAGGCAGTTGAGAGTTGATACATAGGCTGAAGGCATTAGGACTTCTGCAACAACATGTGGTGGTTAAAAGGCAGGTGCAGCAGACAAGTGAGGTGTGATGCTGGGGGTTAGCCAGAATATAGACAATGCTCAAATCGCAAGGGACTACCAGGACCAGGAGGAACCGCTCAGCAATTAACCCAAGTGGGGCTTGCCACTGCACAATGAAACCTCTAAGCCGCTTACTACAGGGCAGCTATAGCCAATTAGAGAGCCACACACCCCATGAGTAAGGCAGTGCTGCTCAGACTCGCTGTACTTGGGAGATTAAAAGCAAACAAAAACTTTGTTTAGTCTCCATCCCAATCCAATTAAAGAGTTTAATTTGTTAAAGCTCTCTGGATGGTTTTAATGTTTAGCCTAAATTGAGAATTACTGCAATGAAGAAGCCTCTTCTAGCAGCTACTTCCCAAGAAGAGATCAAAGAAAAGGAATGAAATCAGGAAGTTCCCCTGGAGAAGGAAATGGCAACCAACTCCAGTACTCTTGCCTGGAAAATCTCATGGACAGAGGAGCCTGGTAGGCTACAGTCCATGGGCTTGCAAAGAGTCGGACGCGACTGAGCAACTTTACTCTACTTTTACATAAAAACAAACCATGATTAGATCTGTACTGTGAAGGGAGGAGAGAGCTTTGAATCTGATGTGGAATTTTCTGTGAAATAGGATGTTTTGAAATAAACAGGGCTGAGTTTTAGGAACTAAATATGTGAAAATTTAGAAAGTTTGGCCAAGAAGGTAAAGGTGATACTCCTCAAGAGTAAAGAGGAGGGACTTCCCTGAAGGTCCAGTGGTTAAGACTCCACTTCCACTGCAGGGGAACTTAAGATCTCACATGCAGCACAGGGTAGCTACCCAAAAAAAGCGGGGGAGGATTCAAGAGCTAGGAAAAGAAAATTGTTACAACTGTAGCCTCCAATGACTTGTTTCCTCCCTGTATGGACTATAACTTTCAAGGTCTTTAAGGTTACATAGTTTTAAATCTTAACCTGCTGCAGTTCATAACCTAGGGTCTGTGGGTCATGTTTGGTGAATTTGGAAGTAAAGTTAGGTTATTAAGAAGTATTAACAATCCAGAATGATTTTTAGTGGGACTTTTTACACAGTGTGGCTAGTTTCCTTGTTAAATGATGTCAATTCAGGGTACAGACAACTGTGTTCATTTAAAGAAAAGTGTGAAAGTGTTAGTCACTCAGTCATGTCTGACTCTTTGTGACCCCATGGACTGTAGCCCCCAGGCTCCTCGTCCATGGGAGTCTCTAGGCAAGAATACTGGAGTGGGTTGCCATTTCCTCCTCCAGGGGATCTTCCCGACTCCAGGATCAAACCCAGGTCTCTTGTGTTGCAGGCAAATTCTTCACTGTCTGAACCATCAGGGAAGCCCCCAAAGAAAAGTATGGGGCACTTCCCTGGAGGTCCAGTTGTTAAGACTCTGAGCTCCCAATGGAGGGGGCATGGGCATGGGGGCATGGGCAAGATTCCACATGCTCTTTGTCCAATAAATAAATAAAACATTTTTAAAAAGTGTGGATCATAGAAATATGACTGTTATTCCTAATGTTCCCTGTAGATGGCGTTGCTTGACTTGGTCTTTAAACAGTTTATAGACAGGAAGTTGTTAAAATAGAATAAATGAATTCACACTTGCCTTTTGAAAGTGAAGTACGTTAGGTTTTAAAGAATAAACCTACCTGTTATAAGTTGCTTTCAGAATATAATGTGGTTGTCTTAGTTCGTTTGGGTTGGTATCACAAATACCGTAGCCTAGGTAACTTAAAACGACAGAAATTTATTTCTCACAGTTCTAGGAGGCTGGACAGTCCAAGATCAATATGTCCATAGGCAGCTATCCTCGCAGGGCGGAAGGGACAAGGGACTCCCTGGGGTCACTTTTACCGGCACAAATCCCATTTATAGAGAGCTTCATCCCTCCCAAATGCCCCACCTCCAAATATCTTCACACTGGATGAATAGATTTCAATATATGAATGAGGGGTGGTGGTGGTGTAAACATCCAGACCGTAACAGTACTGTAAGTGAAATAGTTTTTTTTTCCTTGTAAATCTTATCTTTATTTTCTGTTTATTGCATTTTGATATGCCTTTTGAATTTTTGAATGTTGTTCATATAGCTACATAAATTGCAATTCATAAATCATTTGTCTGCTGTTGGTATTTTCTATGAGAGAGATATTTCAAAGGCTAAATTAGTTCAAGTTCTAAAAATGAAATTCACCTTGAAAGTACTTTTTATGTAATGCATGATTTTACATCTGAGGTACTTGAAGCTTCTAATTAATTTTAATTAGTTTCAAACCAGTATGCCTTCTTCACTAGAGTAATAAGTAGCTTTTACATCAAAAGACTGAAGCTCTGTCTTTGGTTTTATCACAGTTCTGTAAGTTTAGGCTGCCTATTTGACTTTCAGTTTTAATTTTTCCTCAAGGAACATCAGGATTTGAAAGAGTGTTTGATTCAGTGATAATAAACATTTAAAAAAATAATATTCAGTTTTCATAACATAAAGAGCTTCAGGCCATATTTGA